GTTACAGAACTACATTTTATACATTATCCAGATTATGGCAAGGCAGTATATAATCAGAGGGTTTGAAAGCATTTTATTTGCGATATATAGAGGGACAGCGACACACTATTTGCATTGCATACAGTTTGTGAGGATTACACGATCCACCGAGAGGCACAGCAAAGTGCTGCCTCATCGGGCATCTCCTCCATGTATTTAAACGGGACATACGGAAATTCTGCTATTCATTATTGAAAAAAAAATCCTTCAACATCGGATTCGAACGGCAAAAGGGCCTACAACACACACCAGCAAATATTAACATTTATTATATTTTATGGTTAACTTTTTTTTTCTTTTCAAGATTGACAGGGGAGGCTCTGCCTTACCTGCCTCCCCTGACCGCACGTCACTGCTTGAGTGCCTCTGGTGGGACTAAAACAATCTTCATGACTGATTTACAGCACACGTGGTTACTGATGTAGAGCACAAATAAGAGTTGGGCTGCTGTTCTCCTTTCAAAGAATTTTTCCCAGAGCTTTGACTGTTTCTTGCAACAACCAAAGGAATCAACAGACAGACCAGAGTAGTCACATCATTAGAGAAGTTCAGTAGTACTGGATTTTTTTTTTTTTTTTTTTTTTGCTTTAGGTAACCAAACAGAACTAAGTGATAAAACTTTAACTTCTGCTTTTCTGTTTACTCTATCCATCCAAACCACCACAATGACCAATTTTAGCTGATCCCTACCTTAAACCTTAGTAAAACCTATCATCTGGGTAATGAGCACAATGTCAACGAGAATAGAAGTCATCTGGAAATATTAAAATATGTAGGAATAAAGCTTACCCATCACATACTTCCCGTATTATTGAAGACAAAGGTCTTTTCTGCAAACAGAAAAAAAAACATTGCAAACATGCAAATTATAACATTAAATGACTGAAATGAAAGATAAATCATCACTACTCACAGCCTTATTTTTTTTCTTGCAATGACAATTTAAAGGCAAAATTACTTTTCTTAAATCTAATGTTCTCTGGCATGAAAAGCACTGCAGGTCATTTTATGTATTCTGCAAAGCTAAAGCGCATCTCAGCGTTAGTCATGACGTTCCCATTCAAAACAAGTTAAAAGCGATACACAACTTCCCCCTTTAAAAGTCAAATTACTCGATTAGGTTTCAGCCATCAGAGGCAGACTGGAGATGTATTTAATGCCACATTCTATGCAAATACAGACCTGGTCCATCTCTATGAGCTGAGCATTAGCACCAGGCCATTCAATAGCCACCTTCACAATGTCAGCTGGAGGTGGCATGGCTAGTTACTGTAGCACCCTATAGAAGTAAAAAAGATGCTTGTTGTAATCACCTGTTGATAAAGCACTTAGTCAAAATACACTTTTAGAACATCTGAATGTATTACATTTATTTGTGAATATGAAAAGTTATTGCATTAAAATGATAAATTACTGTATGAAACACATTTGATAACTTACCTAATGTCAAAATAATATAAATGTTATTTCATTGTTGTACTGTAACTCCTACAGTATGTCAAAATGTTTGGACCCGTGCTGAGTAAAAACCTGTTCAGGCTGTCAGTGTAATATGAACTGGAGGTTATGCATCACCTAATGGAGAAGTGCGGAGGGGGTCAGTCACTCTCGCTGCTCTGTTGTGTGAACCACTGTGTCAGCTCCCCTGTGAACACACAAACCCACACACAGCGGTCACGTCAGAGCAGAACCTCGTTTTCCTTCAAGCCCAAACATTTGCTTCATCTCTGCATTTTCTCTCCACTGAACTGAATCTGTCAGTGAAGGGAACAATAAGCATGACTGTTTTACAAAACCACACACGGTCATGTCTTACTGCACTTGTGAGGACACTCAATGCATTCCCTAGCTCCTTACCTTACCCTTCACCATCACAACTACATGTCTACCACCAACCTTAACCTAAAACTAATTCTAGCCTGATCCCTAAAACCAAGTCTTAACATTGAGAAATCCCTCTTAAGTTATGAGGGCAGGCTAAAACATCCTCACAATGGCATTAACAAAAAAAGAAAGAAACAAACAGAAAAAACCGGAGCCACACAATGTAATAAAGACTTGCGCACACACTCACTAACACATATATAGAGTAACTTGACTGGCTCAGGTCTTTGGCCTACTGGACTCTGGGTCTGCTAAGTTTAGATGCCCAGGAAAGGTTTGCACATTATTGCTCATATAGATAAACCAAATATCTTTATACTTCACTGATGTTATGGCTTTCTTCACAGACTTTTCATACCAAAATTGTATTTCTGTGTTTCTGTTGTGGAGGAATAAAAAGGCAGACAACTCTTTCATGGCTGGCCCTGTCAGAAAATCACAGTGGAGCCCGACTGATATATTGGCCTGGCTGATATTATCAGCCATATTTTAGCTTATCACAGATAAGTTGCATTTGTTGGCTGCCAAATACCAAGAAACGGCTGCGCTGAAATGGAAAAGATATGTTTGAGATAATGAGAACCTAGGCTTATTTATTTTTCCAACTCTAAAATATCTCACTCAGTATTTCAGTTCCAACCAAACTGAATGCATTCACTGGATTTTTTTAAAAGTTAAATACTGATATTACCCATAAAAATCAATGAAAACACCATCACAATACTTTTATCACAAACTCCCATAAACAGTCATCCCATGTCACTCTTCACATTTTACATTTCAAATGACATTTTACTGCTCTTAAGTAAATCACGTCTGTGGTTAAATTTTCTTTGTTTAATTTTCATGCCACACCATTATTTACCTTGAAACATTTCCTCCCTTCTGTGTCCTTATGTGTGTCATTTTTAACAGTAAATTACAGCAGCAGAGATGCTTATTAAACTCATTTCATTATTTCCAAAGACTGCTCTGAAATGCAAGAGCGAGAGCAAGGGGGTAGGGACCCGTCTTTGGCAACAGAAAGAGATCTCTCTGCTCCGCTCTGACACGAAGGGAGCATGAAAAGCTGTCTGACAGACTCTGCCAGTGACTGGAAGAAAGTGGTAAAAAAGAAAAGAAAAAGACACTGCCATTCTCTAAAAGGCTCTTTGCACTCAGGGTGCTTTCAGGACACAAAACACTTTGTTTGGCTTATAGCTGCTCATTTGGAAAAAAAAATCTTTAGCAAACTGTTATAGGTGAAACAAACTGCCCTGAACCAACCTGAGGAGATGGCTTCTTTCCTAGAGATGTAGCTGTGTTATAGTGCAATTTCAGAAATGCAGCACAGTCTTTCTGAGGAATGTGACTGTTTGTCTCATCCTATAAATGCTGTATGTTCCCCTGGCAGTTTGTATCAACAGTGGCTCTGACATCTGCCGCTGGAATTTAAACTGTAGTAATGTGAATAATAGGCATGCATGCCTGAATCCTTTCATCTCTACAACTTTGAGCCATGGGATTACTGAACCCAATTCAACTGAGATAGGGTGCAGTATATTTGATTAACACTGACTACAACAAATGGTACAGAGTGAAAACTGCCAGTTAAATTCAGACTCCAACCAGCCATCTGATGGAGAGACTGCACCGCCTCCTCTTCAAGCAGGCTGCCCAGCACTTCACGTAATGTGTGATCTCTGAGCCTGCCCTGCTGAAAAGTTTCCCACAAGGAAGTTCTGGTGCTAATTTGCAATTTTCAGCACTGACAGCTGGCTAAAGTCTCACAGAAAGTTGTGCAGTGTTATAGGTATCTTATTATCTATGCAATACACTTACGGACTCCGGGGTTGGACAGTATGGACAGTACTTCCTGCAAACAAATGATATCCTTGATAGATTTCAATCAGCTTTCCAGATATACCATAGCACTGAAACTGCTCCCATAAAGATTTTAAATGACATTCGCTTAAATAATGACACGGGGAACTTAAAAGCCTTGATGTTATTAGATCTTAGCTCAGAATTTGACACTGTGGTTCATGAATTACTTCTAGACAGAATGAAAAACTGGGAGGGACTATCAGGAACCATCCTCAGGTGGCTCAGATCATAACTAGAAGACAGGGGATATGTAGTCAGTATTTGTAATTATGAATCTGAAAGAACCACCATGAGGTACGGTGCCCCATAAGGACTGATTCTTGGGCCCCTCCTATTCATCCTGTACATGCTTCTGCTTTTTTGAAATCTCCAGGAATGTAGTGTTACTTATCATAGCTGCATGGACGACACGCAGATATACTTAAGGCTCTCACCAAATGACTATGGTCCTATAGACTTATTATGTCTATGTCTTGATAAAGTAAACAGCTGGATGCAACTAAATTTCCTCCATCTAAACAAACACAAAACAGAGATAATTATTTTTGGAAACAAAGAAATAAGGCTGGCGGTCAGTGATTACCTTAGGTCTAGGACACTAAAAACTAACACCTGTGTCAGGAATCTTAGTGTAATCTATGATGAGGATCTAAATTATAATGGCCACATCAGAGCTGTAACAAAGTCATCATTCTGGCAGCTTAAAAACTTACTGCAGCAAAAATGAGGAACTTTCTATCTAAGAGGATTTAGAAAAGCTCATTCATGCTTTTGTTTCTAGGGCAGACTACTGTAATGCACTGCTGATCGGCCTCCCCAGTAAAACGATCAGACAATTGCAACTGATTCAAAATGAGGAAGATGCTTGTAGCCATTATGCTGCCCACAGCTGGAACCAGCCTCAACTGGAGCCACTTTTAAAATGTCCACTGCTTGTAATTAATGTTTCTTAATTCCACCCAAAATTGCACTTTATCTGCTTTCATTTCTGTTTTTCATCCATTACTCAATGACCACCTGACTTCATGGTGCTGTTTAGCTGACTGTACAGACACTGATCTCAGCTGTTTTCCAGAAGAAAGTATGCCCGCCTCTGGTGCAAATTACTCAGAAGTGTAAATTACTCTGAGGTTAGTCCTCAGAAGACTGAAGTAAAAGGATGCAGGTTTATTGAGAACAGTGAAACTCTACAGTTTGCCACAGCTATCCTGAGGGTTTTGGGACAGTTTAGCTGACTGTACAGACACTGGTATTTCTAATTCCCAGAAGAAGGTACGCCGCCTCTGATGTTCAAGTATTCAGCGGGAAGAAATAAAGGGGGGTGCAGACTGACTGCAGTGAGATGCAACATGACAATAAAGACTCAAAACAACTACAAAGTGACTCAAATCTACTACAAATAAATGCACAGCAACAGCAGAGTCACAACAACACTACAAAAACACAAACAATTACAAAATGACTGCAAATAGAGAAAGGATGGCAACCACTATGTTGCCTGTAGTTATTTTGGGTCTCTCTCTCCCTCAGGGTAACCGCTGTAGGAAAAGTGGGGGGCTTTTACATGTCTGTGCCCAGGGGCCCAAAATCTCATAATCCGTCCATGGGTGTACGCCTGGTTACCGGTCTGTACTGGGAGCCAGTTCATTGGCTGCACGTGCTGTGGCGGTGTCATAGCAACAACTGCTAAGGAGCTCCAGCCTGAAAGAAATCCCGCAGTGTGGTGGGAGCTTCAGCTCTAAAGAACCCCTGAACACTTGTCCCGGGGCCAGCTACTTTTCACCGCGACCCGGATGTTTCTGACGCCATTTTACTCTTCTTTTATACGGTTCGCAGCTTCTGCCTGGGTCAAACCGCGTAGGCTCCGAAGCGTCAAACTTTTCATAATAGTTAATGACTTAGCTCGTTGGATAACTACATGGAGTGGCGCCCCCTCTGGGTTTATGATGCTTATATGGAGATGACTGCTCGGTTTAGTAAAGGAAAAAACTACTTTGGCAATTTTCCCTTATCCTCTTCACACAAAAAGATGATTCAGTTAATACAAACATTTTGGAAACGCGACAACAACCATTCCTCCTGCATGTGAGAAGCTGTCATCTCATGGACATTAGCAGTTAATGCGCGCCTCTTGTATAGCCTTAAGCTAACTTATTAACAGGTTTAAGGCCTGGTTATAGGTGACCCACCAGGCTGGACTGGAGCTATGGAAACCAGATGGAGCTCATACACCGATGTAGCAGCAGCATTTTCAGCCTTGTGATCTTAGGGGAAATAAATCCCAACTCGTGATAATGTCTGTACATTAAACCGCGGCTAATACAGACAGTACTGACGCCTGTATGAAAGTAACACTAACAGCAAACTCACTCGCTATTACAGCCAATACCAGCGTTATTCCTCAAAGGCGGTTAATGTTATTCAGTCGTCCAGCCAGTCCCTGTCTGCTCCTCCATTGCTGTCATGGTGCAGCCTGTCACTCGGTGGATATTCATACGATGTCCCAATTCTCACTGGATCTATTTTCGTTTTGCCAAAGGCGACTTAGCTGCTAATGTCAATGATCAGTGTTACTCACCCCGAGTCCGGGCCATCGGTGATGCCCTCAGTCAGTATCCTCCTCTCCAGTGGAATACTTTTAGAAAGAAGACTAATTCCACGCCTTGTAGGCGGGACACAATGTAAATGTAACCGTCTGCAAATAAGACAGGCCTTGATGTATGATTTGTGCATTGTCAGACTGACATCTTCCTCAAATGCACAGTGGGACTGTAAGGAGGATGCGACATTACTAAAATCCTAAAACCGACAAGAACACAAAATTATATGCTTCCTGATTTTTTTTTTCCCTGCAGATCCTGACATGGTTAATATTGCTCAATCTTTAAAACAACCAGTAGTTAGCAGGCAATTATCACTACACTACTACTTTTCATCAAATATTTAGCACTTTCTCTTTTGACGTGCAAATCGACGCAGTGCCTGTAACAAGATCACATTATATTGTGTTCATTCAGTCAGCTATTAGGAGAAAATGATTAACAGATGAAATTCAGTTGATCAGGATAGGAGCTATTTTCTTAATTATGACTACATTTTTAAGAAACGTAAATTTGGATTTTTATGACTAATAGATTCTGCATCACAGGGGCAATAAGTAAAATACCATTACATTCACAGCACAATACATTTTTATTTAACACAGAAACCATGTGTACAAGGAAAATATCAGCCTCAGCTGAGTGGGTAACACTGGCTCATGTCATGGGACGATTGCTGGTGAAACATGGAGGGGCAAGCAGGCTGCATTTCAGTTCAGTGAGGAAACGACTTATGAAAATGTTTCTTTAGCTCCACATTACATCTAATGCATGACATAAAAATTGTATATTTGATACAAGTTTCATCAACAAACACGGACATACCCAATCTCAAATGTTCGACAGGCACAGACACTGAGCTAAACTGTTGCTGTGGAATGTTCAAGTTCAGAATGAGATTCAGATGGTGTCCAAAAAAAAAAAAAATAAAACAATCAGGTTATATAAAAGCACCATCTCCATATATGAAGAACTACTGGTTGTATATCATTTAGTAATACGTTCTCCAATTTGACCACAAATAAGGTTTGTCAGTAACCCCAAAAGAACATTCAAAAAAAAGAAAACCTATGGTATTTATATGTGTGCCGACATGTACACCTCAATGGATCACACACACACAAACTGACGTCAGCATCAACAGAAAACAAATACAGCTGTTTAAGGCATTTAACAAATGACTATACATGAACACGAGTGCAGAGGTTCACAAATGTTCCGGGAGTGTTCAGTTCTTACCTCATTGCATTGTCAGTGAAAAACATACCAATCTTTGCAGTTAAACACTTGCAAATCAAAAGCTGTTGTAATGAGGCCGACATTAAAACAATGCTGAATGGTTAAGAAAGGGGGGGGGGGGGGGCACGGGCGTTGGCCCATATTAAACACTTGCAAATCAAAAGCTGTTGTAATGAGGCCGACATTAAAACAATGCTGAATGGTTAAGAAAGGGGGGGGGGGGCACTAGGTATTCGGCCGTAAACTAAACACTTCTTAGAGGTAGGAAATGGACAGGGAATAAAGTTCCCAGGATCTATCCTTCACACTTTAAAACCTGTGTGATTGTAAAATGTTATTTCTATCAGTCAAGAAGTCGACTGAGGAACAAGTACAGCAAAATGATATAACTAGCCAATAACAAACCAGCAGCTATATTGCACTAGCAAACTACTCTGTGAGCAATTAGTATGACACCAAGGCTCTAAGAGTCCGATACAAACTAAGCATGTTAAGATGTCTTCTGGTATTAGTCGTTAACTTTAGAATCTATTGTAAAAGTTCCAATAAAGTCAGACACAAGTTATACCTCTGTTAGAATTGGTTCTATTAAGTGCACCTTGAGTTTATTATGAGTGGTTTGGATCATGTAAGAAAACTGAGGATCCGTAGGTTGTTAAAATACAAATTCATCTTCACAGCTGGAAAAAGAATGATAAAGTTGCAACATTCTGCGTTACAGGGAATAAAAGGCCATGCTGGGACGTTTAGGTGCTGCAATACCCGTGCACTACCAGTGTTGGTTACTGGACAAACAGGCTTAATAAAATACTCAGTTTCACACTTTTTACATTCCTAATCTTTGAAACAATGAGCTTTTCATGATCATTTTGCGATGAACATTTTGCCTCTGACCAAGGGATGCAGTAGGTCAGTTACATTAATTCAAACAATTGTTTGAAAACTATGAAAAACTATGACCATCTAAGCATCCAGCATATAATGAGCCTCATTAATTTCACTCCGCGATTTAGATGTTAATACAAGCGTGCAGATTTCTCTGACACCAAATCCACACAACACAGAATAACCAATGTGCAACAACACCCGACATCAATGTGGAGAACACTGCACACAGCTTCATTATAAGAGATTCAATTTACAACAACCTGTCAGTTCTGCTGGGGTCTGAGGTTGCAGGCCCACAGGCTCAACGGGTGCAACTCCATGCAGACAACACGCATACAGTACACGCAGTATTTTACCCAGCAATGAGCAACTTTCATGAGAAATGATCTACGATAAACTAGTGTATACAGTACATCATCTTTAGACAGTTAAGATTCCCAAATGAGTGCATGTTGAATGTAAAAGTGGGAACTTCTGAATTAAATCGATTATGTCCAACAATGGCTTTCATTATACAACCCACTACTCTTTAGGGGTCCAGCTGGATTTATATGAGAATGAAAGCTCGTCAAAATGCCAGGACCCAAATGAGTGAATGCGGCCCGTCCTTAAAGTGTGAACTCTAATTTGAAAGTTGACCTGCACTAAATTTCAGTTCAAATAGTATCATGTCAGAAAAAGAAAAACAAGAAAACATGAGTTCATAATAATGCGCCTCCTTTCCCCCCTGTAACGGTGGGTACAATGGCATTCAAAATTTTATGCTTGTGAATTTTATTTTGCGATTGACTCCCGGCATTTTTATACACACCAACAGAATAATTTCATACATAAATGAAGACAAAATAATTTAAAGAAAAAAACAATGTGATGAACCACAAAATGTTGTATTAACTTGAGTGGATGCATGACAAAAAATGCTAACATGACATTGGGGTTGTGTTTATCTGGAACTAAAGACTCTTGCTACAAACTTTTGAATAGAAATTGCAGTTAAGTCTTGGGCTGTTAACAGCAGAGAGAGAAGATGGAAAGACATGAAAGTAAAATCACAATATTGAATCAACCTCAGAATTTGTTTCAACAGCTCATTGACTTTAAATTAAATACATCAAATTTGACAGAAGGTTTTTGTCACTTGTCTACATGACGTATCCATTAAATCTAAAGCAACCTGACCATTTTACTAGAGAGGAAATTATAGATATAGTTGATTTGTTTAGGACATTGAACTGAATTTCTTAGAAACCTGTTGCATCAGTTTCTGGTCTTGATAACAAGATAATGTCGTATCAGCAGCTCTGTGCTTTCAAACAAAATTACATATGTATTTAAAAAACAAAAAAATGGCATAAAGGTAATTCAAAACTGACAGCCACAGATTTTGATTGTTAGCCAATTTGTTACAGTGTTTTTTTTGTTCTTTTAAATTTCATTCAACACACTGTAACATCAATATGTTAAGGGACTCATTCTATGCAAGATCAGTTCTACAAAAATAAAATATGCAAAATGTCTAAAGGACAGAAAAAGTCAATTTGAGGACAGAAATATTGTGACTAGTCTTTAGTAAAGCACATACAATGATTCATATTTACAATGTCGGATTTTCTTGTTCATGCATCTTTATATGGTGAACTAAAACCAGTATCATTAAACCATGACAGAGGATTAACACTGGTTAGTTCACTTAAGATATTTAAGGAGCCCAGGTAGTCAATTACCTACACTGATCCATCTTTATTCTGACCATGTTAATTTACAATAATATACATGACTGTACGTTAATATTATTCTTTAAGAATATGAATTTATCAGTCGGCTCAACTTAAGCGGAGGCGTCACTCATTGTTTCTTAGGTTTATAATAAATATATTTTGAATGGATTGACAGGAACTGAGCTGAGAGGCAGGTCTTTTCCTGGAAGGTGAAAGAAGACAGGGAGAAGGCCAGAGTGGAAACGAGCTGACATGTAAGGTTGGGAGGTGACTACCAGTCTGCATTACCCCACGTATCCTCAGCGGGTTTGGTGGGACTTTTCTTCGTCTTACCATCCGCATTCTCCCAGTTGTTGTCGCAGGCCTCCCAGCTATCCTCTGTGCTGTGTATGTTGTTGGATGCTGCTTCGGAGCCCCAGTTATCCCAACTGTCAGAGCTCTTCTTTGCGGAATTATCTGCGATGGTCCAGCTGTCGGTGCTGGGAGACTTCTTGGCTTTTAAGGAGCTGTTGCTGCCAAAGGTTTCCCAGAAGTCCCTTGAGACAGGCTGGCTAGAACTGCCTTGATATCCCTCAGCGGCATCCATGTTCTGGTAGCTCTCTCCAGCAGACCTGAACGCAGTCAAAACATAAAGACAGGCATGTAAAATTCACATTTCATAACATCAGATGACAGAGTACAAAAGAATTTTGTATGTGGAATTTTTAAAATAGCTTGAAGTTGTTCATATTACCCATCTTCCGGATTTCCAGAGAAGAGATTGGTGAGTTTTGCACTAGCCCCCTGAACCTAAGCAAAGAAAACACTTCAGCTGACAAAACATTTCAAATGAAAGTCAATGTATCAAATTAGAATGTTGTAATATCCAACTAACACATTATGTTTCTACTTAAGCAGAAAGCCAAATGATAACTGAAGGAAAGTAATGGCCTATTATAAAAATATTAACATTAGCTACAAGGCTATTTCAGTCTTTGAGGCAGTAATAATAAAGTTGCATGCTGGTTATCCAACAGCAGAAAAGATGTGTACACAGTACTCACCACCAGAATAATAATGGCAGCAAGAAAAATGACAGATTAACTGAATTAGTATTGTTCAAACATTAATCAACATTTCAAAACCAGACTCCTTGGAGAGCTACAATGTAAGAGGGGACTGCTTCTGCAGTGTTTGCACATCTGGATTAAAAGGCCCTGGTTTAATCGGGCACTGGGATCAGTGCTACAGTTCCTCACTCAGGAGACTGGTTCCGAATGTGTACAGCATGGCAGACGTCTGCCCGTCCTACCTTGTTTGCCAGCCCAGTGATGCTGACAGTCATTTCATCTAGCAATTTGCCCTCTTTCACCTGGATGAGCCAAATTTTTATTAAAACAACAATAACATATATCAACAATAATCTTCCTGTTTATGTTTGTCAAAAAGAACAACAGTTTATTTTTCATTGTAAAAAAACTGATTACAAGTGTTTTGTTATGGTCAGTGTGAGAAAGAATAACTTTTTGTTTATGTATAACAAAAGGTTATTCTTCAAAGGAAAATATGTCCAAACTTATGCAGCTGTGACCATTTTGCAAGAGTAAAATGATGTAATTGTAATGTGATTTATGAACGCTGGCTTGTTTTCTTACGGCTTCACTGGACTCATTGATCTCATTAAAAGACACATCCAGGAGCTGCTCACCTGACATTGAGAGTTAGAGCAGCTATGTGGAAAAACACTCACTGTGACTTCGGAGACGACGGCACTAGTTAGTTCACACAATTTGCCACAAACAAACCTTTAACAAACTGCGTTTGCACAGCCAGTGAGCAGCCACTGCCAACTGAAGAGCTCCAGGCTGTGCCATTTCAGAATTCAACTGTTACAAGCCTTAGGGCCAAGACTATGGAATATGAACATTTTCCAAAAAACCAATGAAGCCTTTTCTAGCCAAATATGAGAGTTTGAAATCAGTTGTCTTGCTAAATGAATGGGCAGACATGTTTTTAAATGAAGAATTTCTTATTTGTGAAGGTAGGTGTGACCCAGCTTTGACACAGGACTTTTTACATTTTTCAAAAGCAGCACTGATTTTACAACATTCAGTGCCAATGTAATATAGTCTGTAACTTTAAGTATAAAGACAATTTAACATCCAACCCTAGTTCAATTTCTATTGTTAAAATAACTGAACATGTTTAAACACTGATATGGTAACAGGAAGGTGATGTGAGTTTTATGCAAACAGAACCTGAAGTGAAAACTGAATGCCTTGAAATCAGGCATACTATCTGGTTAAAGACTCTCAAACAGAGTTAAATGTACTTTTAGAGTTGTCCAGTGCATGTGCTGAGATGTCACATTGACTCACACCCATTCCCAAAGAAACAGTTCACAGCTGCGTGCTTCTGCAAATGGCATGGTTGAATTACTGACTGGGAGACAAAAATTAGAAACCACAGCTTTTGTCCTTTAGTGTAAGCTGGCATGAAGCAGATAAACTGACAAAGACAAGCGGTGTAGAAAATAGCACATCCACATCTGAAGCTGTTTGGTTTTTTTTCCTAATGCATTACATCCCGCCACCAAAGCGACAACTTCAAACATCAGTGTTACCTTTTCTTGAGTCGGTTTGATAACACTCTCATTAAATGTCTGTCCTAACTCTGTGGCCTAGTTGGAAGTCAGAGGGGAGAAGTGACTTGAATGAAACACAGTTTAACATTCACAGGAGAACAAGACACTGAGCTGCTTGTTCTGCAGTTGCAGAACATTAACTGATCATTCCCATTCACCATGACACTGAACAAGCACTAGAGGGTGTAATGGTTCCAAAAAAAAAAAAACAAAAAAAAAAAAAACTTTGCATCAGCAGCATAAACATCTCTTCTGAGGCAACACTGCATATATATACTTCTTTCCGAGTAGGAAGACTTTCATATACTAGCAGATTTACTTTCCCTCCTGAGTAACAGGTTGCATAAATTCTTTTTCCTCAGGATTATTTACTTTAGATAAGACAACAATAAAACAAAAACAAAGTAATGAACAACACAGTGTACACAAAAAGCCTGATAAATGTTGCTACACACCATTACACCTCTACAGCACTGTCTGAAGTCAACACAGACACTGTCATGCATAAATGGATAACCCATGGATGTGAGAGAACACTTCTATATCAGGGGTAGGAATTAAAGGTAATTCCCATCCCGTAATATACAACCCCAAATCAGAAAAAAGTTGGGGCTGTACGTAAAATCAAAACTAAAACTCAAAGTAGAGATGTGTAAATCATCTGTGCCCTTTAGTACATTGAAAGCAATAAAGTATAACATTATTTGATGTGATACTTCATCAATTTAATTGTTTGTTCAGAATAAACACTCACTTCAATTCTGATGCCTGCAACACATCCCATAAAAAGTAGGGACAGTAAAGCGTTTACCACAGTGTGATGTTGCTGTTCCTTTTCACAACACTTAATCAGAATTGGAATCTGCTTTAAAAGACATTTAAGGACACCAAGTGGTTAGGTTTGTCAGGTGTCATTTTGTCCCAAACTACCTGCAAACAAGTCTTAAGGTCTGGGTTGTTGTGTTGACGCAATTTTGTTTCACACCTTCTCTACTGGGGACAGGCTGGGACTACGGGCAGGCCAGTGCAGCACTCGCGCCCTTTTCATCCACAGCCAGACATTGGTAATGTGCAGTATGAAGTTTAGCATTTTTTTTGTTGAAATATGCATGGACGTCCCTGGAAAAGATGTTGTCTTGAAGGCAGCTCATGTTGCTCCAAAATCTCTATGTACTTTTCAGCAGTAATGGAGACTCACAGAAGTGTAAGTTACCTTTGCCAAGAGCACTGACACAACCCCAGACCATACTCTTCATCTTTGGTCCGGAGCACATGGCATCCATTCCTTCCAAAAAAGACCTGAAATACTGAATACTTCAATAATTTTCTCACACACGTTGGCAAACTGGCGGTCCTCGGCCCATCTTTGCTCCTAAAGGGCTCGGCCTTTCTTGATGCCACTTTTCTACCAAATCATGATGCAGTCGCCTGTTGACATCACATGCTTCCAATGGAATCATCATTTCATTGTTTTACCTCATTACTGGCCCTGAAATGCAACTGTCCCAACTTTTTTTGGAAAGTGCTGCAGGCATCTGAATTAAAATGTCTTTATTCTGAACACAGAACAAAATTGATGAGGTGTCACATCAAATAATGTGCTGCTGTGTTGTTTTCAATGTCATACATGAAACAGATGATTCACACAACACTATTTTCAGTTTTAATTTTACCTACCACCCCAAGTTTTTCCGATTTGAGGTTGTAGTCTATCCCATAATACAGTTACATGTACTACTGTCTTTCACAGGTTATCCATAGAGCCAAAGTGTACAAGACAGAAAAAAAATGCCTTTTGTTAGTGTAACTGAAGTGGCTGAAGACGACATTCACCATTTTGCAAAATGTAAAAGTTTTAAGGCTTTAGTAGAAACTGAAAAACTGACAAGCTGTCAAAAATAACAAACATCAGTAATGTGTATTTAAATAAAAGACATGATGCGGAAAAAAAGCCATGCACCTATTATCTGCTTTACCGGTTCTGGGGGTGCTTTATAGCCCCTTAACTACGTCCAGAGAGGGCAAAGAGATGTTAAAGCAGTAACACAGTTATTACAGCTTGAAAGTTTACATTATATGTTAAGAAATCTTTCCCAGACAAAAACACCTTTATTAGTAACGCTAACAAGTTAAACATGACTGTAGGCTTACCTTTAAAGTTGCTTGGTTTGCCAGTTTAGTTGTCTGTATGGGGGGAGAATTATCTTTATTATTTTATAAGGCTTGTTATTCTTAGCTAGCCTCAGATTCAATGCTTCACAGACAGGATGTGACATAAATATACTTACGTTATCTTTAGCAATAGAAGCAAACTTGCTAGCTCCCACAGTGAAACTGCTCCAACCCTGCCAAAAAGAAAAAGAAACTGTCACATGGGAGGAAAAATACGACAAAGGTACTAATCAGCCTAAAAATAGATATCGTAACCTACTGAATAAATAGAAGACATAGCATTGTTCAGGAAGTCTTCCTCTTTCTTCTCTGGGGTCACAGTGTTACCAAAACCAACATAACGATTCTCTTGATTCCCACTGTAACCCCCACCACTGAAGAAAGACAACAAACCATTTTAAACAGGTCAATTACAGTAAATAACAGAAGAGTACGTAAGAGATTTAAAGAGTGTGAGGCTTTTACCTCTGATAAGAGTTAACATCGTCACTCAACCAGTCTTCAAAAGCTTTGTCGCTAGATTTAGCTGAGGTTTGTCCAGACCCTCCAGAGCTTCAAAAAAAAAAAAAAAACCAAAAAAAAACACGCAAATATGAATTTACTGCTGTTCTGTATCTGACATTACACACACTATGTTTAGAACTTCCTCATCAAACTGATACCGATGAAAGGATGAAAGGCTGGTCTTGGCTTGAGGAGGGGTCCAGTTTCTGGCAGGGGATGTTTCAATGGACCACTCCTTACCCTCTGCTAAAGTTGCGACCTGTCATGTCCAGAGTCAAAAGAATGTGAAGTATTCTGCTAAACGAGTGGCACATAATGTACAAGCTAGAAGTCACATAGAAACCCCAGGCTACACTGGACCATTCTTCAACTGGCTTTTAATATTAAGCTGTAATTCATATCCATGAAATGATAGGTTACACAATTTGCTGAGTATATACAGTTAAAATTATGATTTTATAGGATCCAAGTTCCCTCTGGTTGAATTCATTATCACAACTTAAAATCTTGGATCAGAGTGAACACAAAATTCCAGTCAGTTGTTACTTAGTACAAAAATGTATGCATCTATAAAATTAAAGACTAAAGTGCTAAAATGAGGATTTTTTCCAAAAATGCTAAATGTGTAGGAAATAATATAGATGTGGTCTTCATTCAGCAAGAAACCTCAACATTTTTTTAATCACAGATCTTTGAGTCTGCACAGCTCACCTTGTCTCTGAAGAGTGCAGCAGCTCTGCTGTTGTATTTCTCCTGCAAGGACCAGTTGGGATCATAATCATCTTGGAGTTCAAGAAAGAGGCGAAATTTCCCATTTCCTCCAGCTTTCATCTTCTCAAGCTCAGTGTCTTTCCACTTGTCCATGGTGACAGAACGCACAAAGCTGCAGGCAGGGCAGAAAAGACACATTAATCATTGTTAGGCTGTTAAAGATCTGCTGCAATGAATGAAAGAAATACATCAACTTCTCTGGGATGTTCAGCTGTTTGTGAACCTAGTCATTACAATAAGGTAACATACTGTATACACATGACTCAGACATGAATCCAAAACAGATTATTAACCTTAGTGTTCCTTTTGATGTTAGCACTGGTACATCTATCTAAAAGCTAAGTGTACACCTCTAAAAGTTTTATTTCATGCTAAATGAAACAGTAAAACCTGCAAACATCAGTGAATAGTTGCAAATCACATATGAAACATCTCTAATGTTGCCAAATATGCTTCAGAGTTTCCTACCTGAGATGTACTCCCAGGCCTCTGTGCTTGCCAGAGCACTCGAGACAAATCCAGATGCCATAGGTCACACTAACCCACTGAGGGTTGAAAGCCCCACATTCAAAACACAGCTGCAAAGAAACCATGAAGTATTGGACCTTGAATAAGTTTATGTATTATGTAAACATAAAAAAAGAGCCAAACCATGCATTTATTTGGGGAAAACAAACATTACAAAACATTCATTAAAACCTTGCATTTCAACAAGTACATAAATATTTCACTGAGAAACAAAATCTCGAGAGCAAAGGGTTTAACAATTTAAACAACAAAATAAAGTACTTCTTTTTAATGCAATCTTTTATTTGAGTTGATGCTCCAAAGTGAAGCTATTGTCCATCATTTAAATAATACATATATTCTTGTAACATATTCATTTTTAGACTAGGAGACATTATAGTATACACTCACTAAACACTTTATTAGGCGCACCTGTACAAGTGAATGTAATCCATTACAACAGCCCTGACATTACATGTATCTTTATGCATCTCATGAAGTTTCAGTTTTTGAGGAAATTGTCATCAATTTATCAGTTCAGTTGTATGTTCATTATTGAGGTCACATTTTGTTGTAACGGACAGCATGACATTCAGTGGTGTCTTAATATTTGTCCTTTAGGAATAAAAGGAATGCACTTAATATTAGGAATACTAGGTTGATAGCAGGACATTTGGTGAGAATTGTGGGGAGGTGCTACAGTACACTGCAAGCCTCTTAAACACCTGCTATCTGCTGCAATACAATGTGTGAAATATAAGGCTCTAGTGAGGGGACACTATGTGGACTAAGAAGTGAGCATAAGCAACTTGAATAAGATGCTCAGGACTTACATTATTCTCATCCTGGGTTCTTACTTCCTTCAGAACTCTTCTGGTCCTTGGACTTGCCATGCTGACCCACACTGAAAGAGAACAGCAGAGGATGTTCTTAACTACTACATCTAATTTTCAAAACAGACTATCTAAATTAATCCTTGAATCTGTTCAAAACTACAAGCCGTACTCCTGGGGATTAGTCCTTCTGAACCCAAAATTACATTACCAAGCTATGTACATCCTGAATACTAGATTTCTATTACAAATACTGAAATCAAATGTTCCTATTAGACTGTTGTTTCAAGACCCCCAAGAATGGATGGACTACTGAACCTGCCTGCCGGGCACAGGTCCAGGGGCCCCTAGACCAGAGAACCATGAAGTGAGTAAACCCTTCTGTTTCTGTGGAAAGTTTATCAAATGACTACAGAATGGTAGAAAACAAGATTGACAAATGCAAAACAACTGCAAAGTCATAAAATTATTCCATCATGAATCCATTAACCAACTAGCCTAATCCTTTCAGCAGTAGTTTAAAATATACTGATGTTACTATCCACAAATCACTTTTAGGCTACAGTGTAACCTCTGTCACCGGATAGATTTAACAGGCAAGTATAATGGTTTCACAAAGAAGCACTCTTTACAAACCCATGCAGTAAAACATGTGAATATGAGGGAAAATATTAGCACAGAAGAATAAGCCTCTGGAGTAAACCTACCAAGTACTGGCAAATTCTGGGAACACACTGACTGGTTTTGTGACTATTCTGTAAGAAAATAAGGTCAGTTGCCCCCAAAAGCAAGGCTGCTTGTTAGTCACGACCTAAATATTTAAGAACTTAATCATTTTATGTCGGAGGTACCTTGAAGAAATTTAATCAGTGAAATGTTAAAACTAATAACAGAGCTTCCACACAAAAACTGCAATCGTGTCAACCCTCCTTGACTCGTGACAAACACCACAGGTCACAACGTTACAATAGGTTAGCTACATGTAAACATAACAACAATGAATACATTATGATGTCTTTGCGGTGGCCTACTTTTGAGCAATGATTTAAAGCTACTTTCAAAATGACATGGTAGTTAATTGCCAATGCTAACGATAGCCTAGCTATCGACAGAGCTAGCACTTAGCTAACTGATCCATTACCTGTCTGTGATTAATGGAAAAAAATGACGTTGTATTCAAAGGATCGTCCGGCTCCAATGATAAAGTCTACTAAGGCTTTTCTTCTGTCGCAGAAAACGGGAACTATTATATCAACACAACCTGTATCCGGACAGTAGAACTGTATTTTAAAGATGACTAACGACATTAAACACCGGTAGCCATGTTCCTGTTTGCCTACGTTGACAAGGCAATGCATCATGGGAACCCGCCCCCTCCTCGTTTAGTGATTCTTCTTCTTTGTTTACTCACTCAGTTTTCTTGACTCTGTTGCCTCTAGGGCAGCGGAGTGTGAACATAACGGAGAACCAGTTCGCCATAACAAATGTAGTCTACGCTTCTTTAATAGGACCACTTCTTAAAACATGTCACATGTTTAAAACAAGTACTTTCTTTGGGCAGTAGCCTATTTGTATACAACTGAATATTTCTAGACTACATTTGACTCTCAATATGCCGCTTTCACAGCAAATATTTTGACATGTCTGCAGTGTTCTATAAGAGAGGCAAGCTTACAGTGGCTGATATTTAGACTGTGTCTCTGGCAAGTGTGTGGGGCTTTGGGGTACATAATGACTTCTATGACTTCTGTGCTATCCTCTCAGCCACTGAAGAAACCTACAGGTCCAGCATGTACCAGGTCTTCTCACTTCACACATCTTCTCGTAGCCTAATTTTTTATGGGTTGAACAAAGTACATAAAGAGGGTTCACACATCCACAGCAATAAAATGTTGAAATTTTTTGTTTTATTTAGTTCAAATTATCCCACATCAGTACAAATGTTTTACACTGAAGAAAATATGGGTGAAGCATCTGTACACTGTTTTTGCGCTGATGTGTGACAATCTGAACTGAACAAAAGGAAACACTGATGTGGATGTGTGAACTCAGTTTTTTTTCTTCTTTTTTTTGTCTTTGGTTGAGTGTGACCTAAATGGAATTAAGCAATGAATGAGATGCAGTGAAACTGGAGTATGTGTGTTTTTAAAGCATTTCGCAGTTAATGAAACATTACAGAGCTGAAAAATGAAACACTTGAAAAAAGGATGAACAATAAAGACTAAGAAAGTTTACTTTTTACATCAATTTTTTTACCAGTTATTTCAGTAATTCTTTTTGTTAAGTCAAATTTGATCAAGGAATCAGTGACTTGACATATTTAAACATTGCTATATCAGGAGTATTGACATTAATTAACCCTTGGGGAAGATTAAAGCAAGGAGTATGTACTGGCACCACAGGTTTTATCAGAATGACAGGGTCTGTACTTTTTGCTTGGTCAGGCTTTTATCACTGGACACATGAGAAGTATTTTAAAATTATCTTCCACTCAATAATGTATTTTGTTTATTGTTACTTCAGGTGTTGGATGTCACTGTGCAGAATGATGTATGAGCTGAGTGTGATGTTGGGGCAGTTGCTCTGTGCTCACTTTATATAAGATGTGTGTCTATGAGCATGATTATAAGGATAATCACCTTTATTAGCTGAGTATGTTACACACAAGGAATTTGTTTCCGGTACAAAATCAAGGCAGCCATCTGTGGCACTAACTTGACCCATGGCTCTAACCATCGGGGGCAACTTGGGGGTTTAGTGTCTTGCCCAAGGACACTTCGATATGTGGACAGCGGGCACTGAGATTTGAACCTTTAACCTTCTGGTTGGGAGACGACTGCTCTACCCACCACACTGTCACCTCCCATATATCATCATAATATATCATCACAACTAGTCTAAGTCAGGCATAGTTCAATATACAACTTAAACAAGTGCATGTGTGCCGTTCTGTGGTGGTAAATCAAGTTACAAAAAACTATTTATGGCATGTAAGCATCAGTAACGGTGCTTCTTTCAGAGGTGGTTGGCGTAGGCTTCTCCATCATCTGCAGTGTTGACGATTTTGGTGTGCTGAGTTTTCACAGAGGCATACAGCTCAGATACGTTGGAGGCAGCATTTGTGTTGCCCTCATCCTCTTCTGCCGGCGCCAATGGCTCTTCTAAATAAGCGACATCTGAATATGCTATCTGTGGAGAGCTGCGGACACCCTGAGTCCTGGGAGGCTTCAGGGTCACGTTGGCATAGCAGTCCTGAGTTTTGAACTGAAAGAAGAAACAAAAACTAAACATGTCAACATCCTCAGAAAACATTACATATAATAGACATGTTTACAGGGAAAATGTTTTCTTCTGCTAGTCATTATGTTCTAAAGAAATCCAGTCCTTATCTTTTAAACCAATGTTGTGACACTGCCACTTCTTTTTCTCTTTTAAAACTAAGGTGATGCAATGTGTTTGAATTGACAGTGGCTCTACAGCAAAGACTTCAAACTCTGTAAAAGGGTTTAATGACTCCACCTGTGAGTCAGTATCGACTCTCTGATCCCTCAGCGATGAAGAGCTGACTGACAAGTGTTGAGGATCATCTTCTGTGACCAAATTCATGCCTGTGGAAAACATCACATCTCAAATAAACAAAGTTGTATACAGGCATAAAGAGACATTGGCACAGACACAGAGAGACATGTACAATGCGCTTACTTGTTTCTGTATAGCTTAGGTTTCCATAAATAGGATTATCTTCCATCGTCCTTGGGCTCTGACTTAAATTTGATATACAGACCATAACAAGAATAAAGTTTTTTAACATTCAGTTTGGCAATGAACTAAGTAATAAATATTGCAGGCCATTTTAAAGGGAACATAACTGAACAGTACCTTAGTTTTGTCTTTGGTCGACATGCCCTTTTTCCTGTTGCAGTATAAAGAATAATACATTAAATACAGGAAATTTATTTGTTTTCATTAGATTTTAATAAACAAATAATGTAATTACCTGAGCAACATTTTGATACACAGTAAATAATATTCCAACACAGTAAAAGGAACAGCAGTCCACTGATAATCCCAAAGAGCACCTTGATATTAAATGGCACACAATCAAAGTTCCAGTCTAGAGAAACAGAGAGAAAGAACTATGTTTATTATTGATCATCTGGTCTCTCACAATCTCCTTCAAACATGGCATTTGTGTAAATTGTAGACTGAGCATAACCGACTTCCAAACTAAGCAAAATGCATTTGTGAGTGAAGGGAGACTTCACATTAAATTGTTGAATAGCCCTGAATTAATTTACTTTCACCCTTGACTAACACTAGTAAAATCCAGATAGAAAATTTGTATCAAAACCAGAATAATCCACTATCTGCATCTTATCCTGGGAAGGCTGTGAAGGCTGGGGTATCCCAGCTAACTCTGAGCCAGAGGTATACACATGCACACACAGCTGAAATATACACTGTTGGTCACTCACAGATTCTCAGTATTCTCAGTTTAGTCTTCAGGTAACCAAATCAAACCACCATGTCACCTAACACAGAATGAAGCTACGTTTATTTTACTGTTGGAACTAAGGGCAGTCATAAAGTTATTTATAAAACACATTTTATGCAAATATATAAAAGCAGTTGAAAGTGTGTAGCATTAACGCATAAATGACACTGATAAAGAATAAATAAAACTGTGTATAAAACAGTTAGAGGTTTTGATCCCTGCTGGAAAATACAAGGCAATAAAGCAAATTCATTCAGGCAAGAACAGCACGGGTGCCCTGGTGCAAGAGACTGACAGTACTTTCTGCTCAGTGCTCAGTCATCAAAAGCAGAAGATGCGGTTTTATTGACACACTGTTTAGCATGACTGTGTGAGCTGTGTGATTGCTCAGTACCGTAGGTCTGTGCTGCAAGAATACATGCTCTGCAAATGCTGGATATATTTCCCACCTCAGGAAGCATTTGTAGAACCTTGTTTAAGTTCAGTGTGCAATGGTTGAGCAGCACATCACTGCGTTTCTTAGCACAGATGACTAAAGTAAAATATTTACTCAACACTGTTTTGCAACACCACTATGTCAAAAGAAAGATGTGCAACTAAATTTCATTAATGATTTCCACTAAATTAAACTTGTGTATTTTGTATCCATAAAAGTCTTTCAGTGTTTCTGTCTGAATTTTATCTGATGATAATGTTTTGTGAATATAAGGCTTTATTATTATTATTATTATTATTATTATTAATAGTAGTAGTAGTAATATGAAACACATCCTGTACATTAACCTACCATATAATAATTTCACCTGCCTCCGAGCAACACTGACCGCTCTAAGCTGTGGTTTTATAAGAGAGTTTCAGAAAGCAATAACAATTGCATTGTTTCCGTGGGTGGTGTTGAGAAGGATTTTTGAGTGGCAGACATGAAAATCTGATCTTACAGTCTGGGCACCCCGGCCTCTCCAGAGATGCTAATATATGTTTAATTCAACCACCCAAGATATGGAATAAATAAAAGAGTTCACATACATATTTAAATATGTTATATTTGCCTTATATAAGAGTATGTATATATGATTAGGGTGCACACATGGGCTAGTCTGACAAATCCACCCCACAGTCTGATTTTGTTGTTTTGGCTTGATGCATATATCATTTATTTAAAGCCACTGCAACCAGTATTTTACAATACAGATATATATCAAATGAGAATGCAAAAACTGTGAAGGGTGACTTGATGAACCTGCAGCAAATTACTGCCTCAGCTCTACAGATCGCTAAACCATTATATTCATCTCATTGTTTAGCAGCATGGCTGCAACTGTACTGCTGTGGTTCACCCTCAGTGTTGGTTTCAGCAGTAACACTGCTATACGCACAACCAAATAAAGATTCTGTATTTCCATAAGTGGAGTAAAACTATGGAATAATTTAAGTGTGGACATAAAAAACAGTAAGAAAATTGATGAGTTTAAACACAGATATAAAGGTATGTGTCAATCAAGATATGGGCAAGAACAGGCTTAATGATTAATCAGATGGGAATGTGGATGTAGAATATGTATCCATGTAGTAATACTGCTTGCAAACCAATGATGATAAGATGATGTTAGGGGGTAGGACTAGATAAGTCTAACTTCTTCCTACTCCATTCAAGCATGTACTAGGTATAAGCAAATTGAAAATATATTTGTGGATATGTCTGGAATTATGTGTGGTTACATACTGATTGTTGTTACATGTTTGAAAGAATAAATAAATCAAATCAAATCAAATCAAACACTTGCTCTAAAAACCCATGTACACTACCTTCTCAGCACCAAACGGCAGGTGGACACAGCTAGTGAACATAGAGAAGCATTTAACATTAATGTTAAATATTTCACTCAGGAGCTGGTAGACCTAAAACAGTGTACATACCGAATATACTTAGTACACAGATGGAAACATGACACCAAACTAATCATAATCTAAAGAATTTAAATGCTTCACTATGTTCATTAGCTACTCACTAACTGTGTTTGTCTGCTATTTTGTGTTGGGCAGTGTACAGTCAGTTTATCTGAGCTTTCAGTATAAAAAGCTGTCTGCTGTGGCTGGAAATGTTGCTATGAAAGCGGTGCACCAACTGGAGAAATCCACCACATTTTTCACCACATGGAGCCCTGAATACCCTGTTATGCCAGATGAAGAGTTGGAAAAGATGGAAAAAGTACATGGACAACAAACAGGTAATCAAATATCAAAAAATCCTATTTAAGTTCTTTTTTACACAACATATTTAGTTGTGGATTTGTCAGTCAGTTTCCCTTCTCAAACTCAGTTATCAAAAGCTTGCGAATTCTACTTGACCATTTAAAGTATATTTGACCCCTCAGTCCTGGAAATGGATATTGTTCTTATAAGAAATACTGACTGTCTTCATGACTGACATTTAAAAAGCCAGTTTTGTAATTACCCTTTACATCTCAAACCCACTCTTGCATTAGAAGTGATCATTTCAAGACTTACCAAGTGCTCCTTTATAATTTGTCTCATTGCATACCATGGTAATAAAGCTTTAACAGTTCTCTCTCTGTCGGTCCTACTACACTGTATCTGTGAGAGCAAGACTACAGCTGAGTGTTGAAACTTGCAAAGTGTGATGCTATTCTAAAGAAGAAACTGTTTTTCAAGGGACTCTTATCATGCCACAGGATGTGTGCTTTTGCAGAAAACCACAAATCTTTTTTTAGAAGGAAACAAAAAAAGGCAACAAAGCAATGAGCCTCTTTTAAATATAGTATGAAATCTGGACCCAGAAACCGGTTTTACGACCACTATTCACTTATCCTGAGAATTCCTCAGTATTTCTGAGAATATAAAAAGTCACATCTACAGTAAGATGTATTAGCCAGTATCTGTGCAGTATTTATTTTGTCATTTGCAACATTAGAGTCTTTCTCTTAAAGGGTTAATGGATGGCACCACATCAAGAATCGCCACTCTTCTATAAGTGATATAACCATAAAGCAGAAAGAGGTCTGTGCGGCAAAACACATCAGGTTGTGGGAAACAGTTGAGGTCTTATGCTATTGACGCTTCAGATACTGATTCTAAGTCTCCTCCTGCTTCTCATCATATTTGAGACATAGCAATCACATTTAGTTGAGTCCTCTCAATAGCTGAAGATAAAGCCAGTTAAATGTGGACTACCACTTATCTGATGGCCTCTACAAGGTGACCTGATTCTCAAGTGGCAGATAATGATCAGTGTTTACAGGCTACATACCCAGGTTGACTAAAATCCAAATAGCAGTTGTGTGAGAATAAACACTCAGATAGAATCAATGGATATGGAGTGTGATAAGCCATTTTGCAAATATGTAACATTAATATTTTATATGTGTACCACAACCTCAGCACCTCAGGTTTAGTGATCCCCTGCAGCACCAAACTACATGATTTCCAACTCTTCCCATGCACACATTCCCTGAAGCCTTTGTTTTGTTTTTTGATTGTTTTTTGTCACCCTTCAAGAGTTACAATAAAGATTTGTATAATAAGAACAAGGATGTGTTTGTCCATCTTTGTATCATGATACTAAATTATTTACACTAATAAGTACGTTTTATGGGATTATCAAAGGAAACCGTGTACATGATGGGACTCAAAGTTTCGTCCTGTTGACAACTCTACTCTGCCTGATGTGATCTGCAGTGGAAGGCCAGGATCACTATTGCTGACCAGAGGATGATTATTATGGCACTGCGAGAGATCAGATTTAGAGGAATATAATAGTAGCCAACATTTATGTCACTTGTCTGGGTGTGCTTCACTAACTACTGTGCATGAGTAATTTTCCACTGGTCTCTCAGCAGTGACATTAGAGTTTACCTGTGATCAGTTGGTGTTTGACATCTGCCTCTTCAGCTCTGTGCAGCTGCTTGCACACGTCCTTCGCATCCTGCTGTAGCCATCTAAACCACACATCACCCTATATAGATAAACTTTTGAACCAAGCACATTTTTCTCATCAGACTTCAAGATTTCACTGGTGCAAATGAGCCACAGCGACATCTTGGGGTCATGTGGACTATCCACGTCTTTCAATCATTTTATTTTCTTCCTCGTTACTTCAGCCACTCTATGAGCCCTGGTTTGAAGACCGAGGCGAATGAATGATCATTTCTAAAGCACAGTGAATATTGTGGAAATGTTTTTTTTTTAGATCTAACCAATGAGGACATTAATGTTTTATCCTATAGTTTATCACAACCTTGTTTATATTTCCAGGAAGGTCATAGTAATCTGACTGATAACGTTTAATATTAGTAGGTGGGGATTGTACCTGCTACAGGACTTTAACAGTGACCAACTGTGGAGGAACTACTCACATCCTTTACCACACTGTAAACAACTACATTTTGACAATACATCTTAAGTTTAAAATTATTAAAAACAGTATCGTACTAACCGGTGGACGACCCCATTGTATATGCAGTGTGCGTAAAGTGCGCAAATATGGAGTAGCCTGTCTTAACTATCCGTTAAGGACGAGGTCTGACCTACAGGGAGAAGCAGTCTGCTGTGTTTGTAAGTTTGCTTTCTACCAAAACATTTTTTCTGGAGACAGCTAACTTCCACGTTATGTACACCCAAACACTACCCAGTGACGCTGTAAACGAATCGGTCCTCCCCTATCCAGCAGGCGGGTCTAACCTCCTCTTATCCCGCCCCCGGCTCTGCTGCTGTCCTCTCTTTCCTTAGACGCTGATGTGTCACTAGTTTGAGCCTAGAAGTCTCCAAACATGTTCAGTTTCAGGTCAAATTTGTTGCTGCTGTTTCTCTTGGCCTTCCCCTGTGGATTAATATCCATCGGTAAGTCAGACTTTCTGCGTATGACCGCCTCACATTTAAAACGTTTTAGAGGTTTTAATAACATTGACGTGGCAGAAGCGCACCGTGGAGCTCTACACTGCCTTCCGCGCGCTTTACTAGCATGGATATATTAATAATTGTCACAGTGACAAGAGAGTTCATCTGAAACGAATGGGAAAAAGATCATCCAGCCCACCAGCTGCTGTCCTTAAAGTATAAGAATAAGCTCATACATATCACGTGGTTAAAGGTTTATGCTCACTTTAGAGGTGTCAAAGATATTAATTTAGGGGGTTGCACCAGCAGGTAACGAGTCCCTCTTGCTGGGACACGTCACCATAGATAAGATGGTAACATTTGTTTTGGTTTGTACAGTTGGGTTTTAAACTGACAAAGTGACCAGTTTATCCTCAGACCACAGTGTTCATGTGTGAAAAATAGACTCGTCCATTCATTTCAAGTTGAATTTTGTAACAAGATAAATAGAAAAATGCTAATATTTAACTTATTCACAGTTTTTTTTTTTAATTTGCTGAGTATTTATATCTGACTGGAATTATATGTTTTCACTCATTATAGCTACACTAGTTATCCCCAAATAACCAGCCAGGACTGGGTGATACTGACCAAATCGATCAATATACCGACCAAATGCCTGTTTTATCTACATATGAATATATAAAGTAGTGATATTTTAGGGTTAACTTCTGGAGTTTGTGCAGCATATGTTTATGTAAAGTTTCAAGAAAGAATTTTTTAAGGATGTGATGATTATATTTATTCTACATCTTCACTCACCTGCAGCAGAAAAAAAAGCTACTGGAGAAAATATGGTGAGAAAAGCAGCCATTACCACTCAATTCACAGGCCCATAGTTCTCAAAACCACAATCCCAGATGATATCCTCTAGGTCATCCCCTTGTACCAACTCATCACAACACCCATCACTCATACAGTATGTACCATTGTTTCACTCATGATTTTTGCAGGCCACGTGTCTGCGAACGCAGACTCTGCTGAGGACATCACCGAGGATGCTGATGTTGCAGTAGATGAGGAGGAAGATGATGAAGATGTACTTGTTGAGGAAGATCAGATGCAAACTTCAGTATGTTTAGTGCCATTAAACACACAGCACTGTAGTTCTTACATTCAGGTGCTGAGGTTATAGTGTTGTTGTGTTCATCTTCAGGAAGGTGATGAAGATGACTCAGATGAAGCCGCTGATAAACTGTTAACCTCTCACCCTGATGCCGATACAACCATCATCTTTATGACGGGAGAAGGTCAGTGTCTTCACCCACATCTACATTTGTTGAGGGAAGGTTTTAAAGTGTATAATGTGATAAATCAGACAGATCTGGTACTACTTTATTTGTACTCATGTTTTAACGCTATCTAAATGTCATGTTTTAACTCAATTTAAATGTAGAGTTTCCTGCCAATGAACTTGTGAGGTTCCTGGTGGGTTTCACCAACAAAGGAAGTCAGGATTTCACCGTTCAGTCGCTGGAGGCTTCCTTCCGTTATCCCCAAGACTTCCAGTTCTACATTCAGAATGTAAGGTTGATCTTTGACTTCATTTGGAGTTGGAAGCACAGTGAAATAATGTAAAAATATGATCATTTGTTAATTTACTGCTCAGCCTCGCATTACCCACAGGCAAGATGGTGTGTTTAGGATGTGGTTGTATAACATTTTACTTATATTTTTATAAATAAATAAAAAACTGGCTTATAAAATATTAAATTCAATCAATTGAAGCCAGGATATATTCATTTCATTTTCAGGACATCTATCAGCCTTTTAGCATTTACTTACTCCTACTTTTAGTTCATCCAAGACAAATAAAATCCACATTTCCATTTTATTGTAAGTAAGTATACATTGAAAACAGAACAAGAGGCTGTCTGCCTCACTGCTGAACACAGTATATACTACTGAAAAAACTGAACATGTCATAGCTGAATGACTCCTTTCTTAACAATGTGTATGTCTGTAGTTCACAGCTTTGCCTCTGAACACGGTAGTGCAGCCCCAGGCTCAGGCCTCTTTCGAGTACTCCTTCATCCCAGCTCAGCCCATGGCTGGTCGTCCATTCAGTCTCGTCATCCTCCTCAATTATCTTGACAATGAGGTATGAAAGTTTTCATTATTTAAAAATGGTGTTTGCTGTTGGATGTCAGCACTGGTTGACTGTTTGTTTGTTTTTTTGTTGTTTTTTTTCAGAAAAAAGGATGTAGTGTGATTATGTTAAAGCACTGACTTGAAGGTTTTTCATCACACATTCTGATGATTCATTATAATTAAAACCTGAAGACCATTGTCTTTTTATTCATGGGACTGGTGGCTCCTTACTATCTGCTGAGCTTTAACAGCTTTTTGTTTCCCCATTTTATTAACAAATGATGTGATAAAGGCTGAGTCATCATGTTGCCATTATAATGTTTCAAGAGTAGTTCTTGAAATCTTTGAGAGTTTCTGAAAGTTTAAAGTGTTTGTTCATTGTTTATTTGCAATTCTCCTTCAGGGAAAGGTTTTCCAGACTGCCATTTACAACCAGACAGTCACCATCACTGAAAGAGAAGGAGGACTGGATGGAGAAACGTAAGGCTTTCTTTTACTGGGGTTATGTTCCTATCCTGTCATATACATACGTGTCAATGTAATATATCTTTTATATATTTTGCTTAGCTTTCGTTTATCTGCCATTTCTCTTAAGGCTACATCCAGCTCTCTGAGGCTTCATAATACCAGCTCTTCCAGACTATTGCAGCACTTGTAAAAACATGTAAGATGAGGTGTGAACTTGGCACGGTTTAAATCTCAGAATTGTTCTGCCGGTGCAGATGTAGGAAGTGTCACCAGCAAACTTGCCAAGCATGAAAGAAAAAACAGTTTTTCTAAAATGCCAAAACAGATCAGAAAACACTGCAGTTACAGGGTAGGTGTTATGTGAAAGTCACTGTAGGGCACCAGTTTTGTTAGACTGGTCTTTAAACTAAAGATTTGCACTTTAAGTTGCTTATAAAATGAGCTAGTTGCTTGAAAAGTGTTTTTTTTTCCAGTAGACTTTCATATCTTGTTTATTTAAGTAAACTGCATTTCAATAACAAGGACCACACCACAACTATACAAGTTAGAGTATTTAATGGAGAAACTACTGTATGACAATGATAAGTAGCAGACATTGAGATGGATGTAATTCTGCTGGCTGGTCTGGGATGTCTTTCCAGCTTGGGGAGAAGGAATCTGGTTGTGGGGGAGCAGATAGGTAACTTTGCACACTGGTATCTCTAAACCAATTAGAGACCCCAGACATACCCATAAGTTAGATAGGAGATATGGATGGAAAGGAGGGGAGATGAGATATAGGGATGGGAAGAGAAAGGGATGAAGTAGGGGGATGAGTGGATGAGGGAGGGAAAGGGAGGGTGAGGGTCAAGAGGACAAACAGAGCTATAGGGATGAGCCAGGTATTAATATGTTTGACCGGTAATTAGAGGCATAGTAGAGATGTGGGAGAGTTAACACGTTAACTTCGTCATGTTTTTGAGACAGTTTTCTCTAAGTCAATCAATAAAACTGATTAAAATCTGCGCTTGGTTGCTTGATGTATTGAAATAAATTTAACAGAGCACTCAGTCATGGATTACTCATGGAATATGTTATGAACACAAAGGAACTGTGGGACTCCTTTACCAATGTCTCTTTACAGAAATAATGTAGCTTTTATTTGTAGGATGTTCATGTACATCTTCCTGGGTGGACTGGTGGTCCTGGTGCTCTTTGGAATGTACCAGGTCCTGGAGTTGAGGACGGTATGTGTTTGTTTTCAGTGTATGTACAGTATGTTTGGTCTATATGTGAATTTAAAAGATGGGACAGAAAATTGGAAAGAGTTCAGATTAACAAGTGGTGTTTTCCATGCTCTTACATCTAAAAGGGGGTACACTGTGGATACACTAAAATGAAAAATTTGTTTTGCAGAAAAAGAGAATGCCAGTGAAAATAGAGAAGGGCACTGGCGGGATAAGTGATGTGGACATCAGCTGGATTCCTCAGGAAACTCTCAATGTCATGAGTATGTTCATTTTATTCCCAATTGTCACAAGTAATTGACACACAATTTTCTCAATATCTACAATATTTTTCCAAATCCCTTTTCTGCTCAAATGACTTTTCTTCTCCATATGAATGATGCAACACATTTACCTAATATTTACATCCCCGTTTTATAGACAAGGCTTCCCCGAAAACATCTCCTCGGAAACGAACCAAGAGGGCGGCGGGAGTAGATCAATAAAACTTAATGCTTCCCCATCATCATACTGTCATCCATCAGGCTTTCAAAGCTCATTTCCTCACCGCAGGTTCCTGATTCCCATCCGCAATGGATCAACATTTCTGGAATCCAGTTTGCAGCCCAAGCAATGCTGCAGCTCTGGTTAGAGTGTACCAACAGAACTGAACTGTTGTTCCTTTTTAAAAGGACTTTTTATCAGTGAGTGTGTGTGTGTGTGTGTGTGTGTAAATGTTGATAAAAGCTAAAGGAATGTCATCAAAATTTGATGGTTAAAAAGGGAACGAGGCACAAACTGCTCCCCTAATAGGAGCTGAATACATCCATATGAAAGCTGTAAAGTCATAATAAGGTTGACATTTTATTTTGGAGATACATTATCATAATTATAAGGATTAATTATTTTGATGACTTCAGAACATATAAACACCATTGTGCCTTATCAGTGCTGTATTTGCAATGCCCTCCAAAGACTGCTGCTTTTGATATCCAGTCAGAAACTGTGAGTGTGATGGGTATGCTCTACAGTGGGACAGCTGCAGGTAAAACAAACACTGACATGGCTTTGGTTTCTGCAGGTGAATTACCTGTCATCTGGCTCTTTTAAATGTGAGTCTCAGTGAAGCATTTCAAACTTTTACTATGCTAGTGGTGCCATTATTTGTGATAAAACATCTTCAGAAATAATAAAAAAGGGTGAACAAACATGTCCTCTTACTTTTTCTTTTAGAAACTTTGTGGATTTGTGGTACATTTGTCTTTTGCATCTTCCATTGTCTCCAATGAGTTCATGTCTAAACATTTTGTTTTACTCTTCTTTTGATTTTTGATTTTTTTTGGTCTTTGCACAATGTTTCATATGCTTATGTGAGCTGGGCATCTACAGTACCTATTTTTACACCCAACAACAATAATCACAATCTCATAATTTCTACTTTTTCTTTAGTGTCCATTTATATGTTCCTGTTTCTTTCCAGAGCTGGGAAATAATTCACCCCTACACTAAAGTGTGTCTGTTTTTTTGTTCTCAAGCACCCATCGTGTGTAGTCACCTAATCAGCTGTACAGTTTAAAGTCTCCCTCCTCTCAAAAATGACTTTTTCTTACTATTACATCACTTAGATGTCTGACCTTAAAGCAGTTAAAAATGTGAAATTAACAATATTTGAATAATTGTAGAGAGATTTTTAATGACACAAAAAGAATTTGTTTCAAGAATTTTTGTTAACCAACTGAATAATCATAAACTACCGGACACAAATTACCATTAGGCTACATTAAAGCCTGTCAGAAGGAGGTCTTTAACTAAAACTAACGTATTCTGTAAGCAGAGGTCACACAATAGAGGATTAAAATCTATAATGGAAAAAATAAAGCAGGAGCACCTTGTGAGACCTCCTCGTGTCGCGGCTCCTGCTCGGGGAGCTGAGCGCTGTCCGGTGCCGAGGGGGGAAGATGAGCTCAGCGCGCGCTGGGGCGCAGGTAACGTCAGCAGTCGGCCGGAGCAAGGGAAGGACTGTGCATACATAGCAAGTGTTTACCACCGAGTAATCACTAATACACACCGACACACATTAATAATGTGTAGCTAATCGGCTCCGTGTGACTCTGCGCTGCTTTTTTGTTTGTTTTTTAAAATCCTGATTCATGAGCGCCTCGGCAGCATCCCGCGCCTTCCGCCGGGCTTGAAATGGGATATGGGATTTTTCATGTCGACGAAGCTCGGAGGGGTTCTCGCTTTAGTCTTGGGTAAGATATCTCGAGCTTTTCCGTGGCTTTATTTAGGCTGTGTGCCACTTCGGACGGTGTGAATGCCTCACGCCGTTTTATCTCTCTGCTAAGATTATCTCCGGTTGCATGATGGTTATTATGAGACCTGTACGTTGGCTACTGCTTGAAGTGCACCTATCGACGACAGATGCCTACTGGGTGTCTATGTTCAGGTGGCAGTGTGTAAGCATGTAGGCTATCTTTAAAAAATAAAAACCTACATATGTATAGCTGTTTTTTCTTAAATTCCGCTTTTCTTCATGTTTGATGCTTTAATAGCGCTTATTTTACATTGTCCTCTTACAGAATGTTGTATGTTTTAGCATTTAAATTGCAAATAGCATGATACCCAGTGTATGGGCTGCAATGGTCAGGACTATTCTCTGTGGTAACATCTGCCTCATAGCTTGCCTCCCACTGACATCCACAGTGGGGTGCAGATATTGAAAATATTTGCTAATTATATGTATTTATGATGTGTTAAAAATGATAATATACAAAAGTTGCATGGCCATGAGCAATGTTTAAGGTTCATATGAGAAAATGATGGCAGAATAAAAACCAGACCGAAACAGTTTCACACATAGAAAAAACACCAAATGGCCTGAATTCCTAAGAAGGACTCTACAGAGTGAATGCACCCTTTTAATTACAAAAACAGAGGCATCTGATAACTTTGTCTGTGCAGCTCCTGTGGACAGATGTGTCAATTAAGTTTTCTAACTTGTCCACTTGAGGGAAATAGTGAAGAGTCTGGTCAAATAAGCTGTCCTCTGTGTCTGGTTTGCAGTGTTCCTGCCCATTGTGGTGTCAGGAGACTCCACAGATGTGAAGTGTGAAAACATTTATAAGGATTTTTCAGAGTGTGTGCTGAAGCTGGGAGAGAGCATGGATAACTATCAGGAGAACATGACCAGTGAGTGGGGAGTGGCAGCAGTGTGCAGGTGAGAATAATTTAAGAGAGCGTGTGGACAACATGAGACACGCTGTACATCTCTGTTATAAAGAAATCCAGTGAGTCTGTAGACTTTTATTTGAACCAAATACTAGTGATTAACTCAAATTAACCAGAGAAGGCAAGAACCAAAAGACACACTCACTGTGACAGGTTGTAAAACCATTGATCTATAGCAGACAAATTGCCTTTCAGTCCACTTAGTATAAGTATAGACAGGCTATGAGATATGCGTCTCCTGACAAAATACTGGAGAGAAAAAGAGCAGATGCCATAATCTCTGGGGGAGAATAGAGAAGTGAATGGTGCTCAGACACTGAGCCATTGTACTAAATAATTTATGACTTTGCTGCAGCACTAATGAAATTCTGGGGATGCTTTTTGTCATTGCTACTGTACGCACTCCACAGCCCCAGCACAGTATATTGAAGACAAAGATTTACACATAAGCCCTCGGCAGTATAATTTGTGATATTGTTTCACTCTCCGATGCAGTTGCCATGGTAATTAAAGCTCAGTTTGACTTTACGAAGCCACCGTAGCCATCTGAGTGATAGATTATTGGTGGGCAAATTAATCCACGACAGCCAGTGCACGTCTGCCTTCTGTAGCAGGGATGAATTCTGAGTGAAACGGCAGATGCAACATTGATCTGATGATCCTTTGTTTGCCGCAGCCACTGGGAAGATTTCCACACGTGTGCTCTCACGGCGCTGTCCGACTGTCGAGAGGAAGTCAGCTCCATCTGGGAGGCTCTGAGGCAGGACTCCAGAAAAATGAGTTTCCAGGGAAGTCTCTTTGACCTGTGCAGCGCCAGCTCTTCTCCAAGCACAAGTTCACCTCTCGCCGCCCTTACCTTGCCACTGATGCTGATCATGGTTGGGCCAAGTTGGTCCGCTGTACAGATGGGGTAGGGGTGGTGGCGAGGTGAGGAGGAGGGCCTTACATTCCCCAGGGCTCAGTCCACTTTAGTTCAAACCAAAAGCCAAGGATTTAATAAAGACAGATGTGTTAAAAAGGATTACTTTGACATAGAGCCAGAAGTCAATCAATATTTGCTGTGATGAATCATTTGAAATCCTCCAAAATACATCATCTTAATCTTCTCTTATGTCTAGAGACCAGTGCAGTAGTAGAGAAAAATCACATCCCTGCCAGCTTTCCAGTTGAGGCAGGCTAACGCAAGCACTCCCAAGTATTCTAGGGATTTCAGATACAATGTGACCAGAGACAGATCAACACCTGTGGCACTGGTTTATCAATACACAAGGGCCGGACACAATATCATTACAAAACAGTCCTGCCATGAATACTAAATGTGTGAAGATTAGATTTTCAACTCCTGACATACAATATATCTTAGCACTGATTTTAATCCCCTGTGAGTATGTTTGTATAAATACAGCCAAGCTATCATAATTAGCTCATGCGTTACAAAAAAATGTCACCAAACACCAAAAATAATCACTTTTTTCTTAGCAGATCATGTTTAAATTTGTTGTTAACTTACTGGTCAGCGAAAGGAGCAAACTAGACAATCTAATTACACCAAAGCTTGCTACTAAAAGATGTTACAGATACACTGTAGGTGAAATACCCTTCTAACCAGTGACAATCAAGCTAACTGTGTAAAGGTTTTGACCCCCTTTACCCCCACAACATTTGAGCCCACTGTGGCCAATGTTGCATGGCTGCTATAAAGACACCTGGCATCACACGTTCATTTCTCCAGCTCCTCTCTCACGTTCTCAGAGCCTCACGCAATGCTTTGGTTCAGTCCAGTGTTGGTGTGTAAACAAAAAATCTAAAGTGTGAAATGTTCATTGTTGCTTCATGAATTTTTTGTTACATCTTGTGTGAAAATTCTCACTTGTAGTAAACACAGTATAGGTAGAACTTTACTTCAAAGTCCTGCAAAAGTGCATTATTATAGAGCATGAAGATAGGCTACACAAGAGCGGATGCTATTGAAGAGATTAGATTTTCGAAGAAGAATCTGTATAATGCTACAGCCAAAAGTATAAGAATTCCCCAGATTATCATATTTTAAGGGATGATACACAGTATTTAACTTTAAACAACTATAATTTATTCTGTAATGAAGTCAAATTATATTCATGAACAAAACCACTAGCTGCTGTAATACAAAATAATAGTTTATTTTTATAAAGCATCCATACAGTTGCTTTTGTATCAGTAGTGTTTCAATGAAAGCTCTACCAATTAAGACATTATATTTTCCAAGTTTCCAAAGTGTGCTGCTACATTTATCTATTTCATACTTTTAATCAAATTTAGTTAAACCTGGCCTTGATTTTAAACATTAAAAGCAGCAAAAAGGAAGAATCTCAACAGAAATAAGGTCATGGGTGCTACAGTTCATAGTTCATAGCTACAAGCATCTGACTCATTTTTCAAACAAACCATATCACTAGTTGTGATGGTTTTAATCACTATGAAATTAGTATCTTTGTTAGAGTTCTGTTACAGAATACTGCATGACACTATTACAAATAGTCACAGATTCAGAGAAAAATAAAAATTAATGAGCAATAGCATCAAATGGTTTTGTTTGCTTTTCCAAACCTGTGTCACACTTTCCTTAAACACTGAAGATCCAAGCAGGCGTCATCAAAACATGATTTCTCTGCTACGGATTATTTTCTCTAATCTATTTTTATCGCAAATGCATGACAATATTTGTGCAGTGCTTCAGAAAAAAATGGACAGTCTGGGATTTTATCTCAGACAAAATGTACCGTAGTACTGATCTGTGCATTAGGTTAGGCTATAGCTTCTCACTGTATCAGCACCTTCTCTTATGCAATCATTACCCTCACCCCCCACCCCCGCATTAGCATGTTTGATCTAGTTGTTTCTATTTATTTCATGTTTCACACGTGGTAGCATTATGTCATCCACTGTGTGTCTGATGGTGAGAATACAAAAACAGTTGTCACGTCCCCAAAGCATGAGCAATATGTATGGTTGTTTAAAAGAGGACTTCATGTGCTGTTAAAGAAAGCATGAAAATTATTTTAAGATGAGCATTAAACTGTAAGAAATAAGCCCTAAAGTCAAACATATGGAGAAAATCTCTGAATATAAAAACAAGTCCAGAATCCAGTGTTTGTTTGTTTTTTCAGTTTACTGATAGAAAAGCACACTATTTACAAGACTGTATAAAGCAATATATGGCAATGTGTTTGTAATAATAAAGCACCATGCTTAAAATATACAGTGTGTGTATGTGTCCATCACCTTCAGTAAAATATGTTTTGCAAAGATAGTAAAGCATTTAATCAACGCAGTCAGTCTTCTGCTACGCAATTCATTTACTACAGAGACGCTGTTCTCAGTTCTCCCTGGAGCAAGATGTTGGTAATGAAGATCACAACGGGCATATTTCAACTCATTAGTGCTTTTGCATCTGCTTCTTTTCCATCTGGACACCTTTAGCAGAGGCACTGGTGGGAGAAAATTAAGAGTCAGGGCCCAGGGTGGAGCACCTTAGGTGAACTAAAGACACGCTGATAGTTTGCCCCTCGCTATACATAAGACCCATCATTGACACTTGAAGCACAATGACCAATTTTTTTCCACCTACAGTTTCCTGACTGAAATATTCACTTTATTCCACCATATGAACTGGCCATGTTGTATTAAACAGCATATGCGCAGAAGTATTTGCACTGTGCCAAAAGTATTTGATGCTAGTGCCAACACCTCACATTCAGAGAGAAGGAAAAAATCTGTTCATTCTGACTGTGATGTTTCTGCACTAGAGACAAGTCAGAGAATTTCATTACAGTAAGTCCATCTGTCAAGTTTACTGTGTTTAAATACACCGTAATAACTAAAGTTATGTTAAAGAATACAAAGGTGGCATTGCATATGACAGAGTAGACATTGTGGGGAATAACTAAATATAAGGTTACACTGGCTCCGAACATAACCTAAAGGAACATGTTCCAAGTTGAGCAGCCAGTTAGCTTAGCACAAACACTGGAAACAGGGAAACACCTAGCTTGGTTCTGTCCAAAGGTAACAAAATCCACCTACCAGTGCCTCTATATCTTAATGATCACATTATAGCTCACTTGTTGAATATGTACAAAGATCAAAGTGTCAAAACAATAAGTTAGGCTGCACAGTGACAAGAAGATAAGACTCTGAGAAGACTGTGGTCAGCCAAGAAATAATCAAACCCATAACCCCCTCTTCAGTCTTAATACTGATTGAACAAAATAATATGTAATAAAACAACATCCTGCATAGTCCACAATATCAAAGATAAGTGCAAAGTTTCTGACCCGACAATCACCATCAGATATATGAGCATGTGCTACAGGAGCTGTAATAAAGATAATAAGCAGTTTATTTGGATACGTTTTTAAAATCCATCACTAAAGGAGAAAGTGAGATTGTTCCAGAAATCGGAACAATTTTCATATCAGCACAAATGGTGACAGTGTTTTTGGAAACAGACGGCGCCTGCTGTCAGAACTCAGCTGGTGGCTGCCAAACGGCGGCCACCTTGTCTGCATAATACATCATGACAGAAACGGAAAAACACGCTAGATGTGCACAGTTCTGTACAAGCGTGACAAAAAATGGCTATGCTGAGCAGCATGTATGAGACTGAATGTACAAACTATTCATAAAGATTTGTTAAAAAGCCTGATTTTATACCACTGACCAATATTATAGTAACATTGTAAAACTTCTTCCTGCATTTTGCTTGCACAATGTTTGAATGCAGTGTTTGAGAAAAATAAAACTTTTAAACATTGAACAGTAGTTATCCAACAACTTTTAGCAGCAGATAGGTAACTCTGCACACTGGCATCTCTAAATTTCAGTGAGGTTCGACAGGAACACTGAAATATGTCCTGAAACATGATGGTTATATGGTTTGTTTGCCAACACATCAAGTCAACACAATGGCTGATGGTGACATATGTTGATCTCCCGGTTTTGTTCCGAAATTTCAGTTTGTCATTTTCAATGGTTATGAAAAAGAAAAGAAAATTAAATCTTAAATTGGATTCTCATGCTAATGTATTGAATTTTAACAAGACAATTGTAATTACAAAGTCTGAAGTTTCAGAGAAAGATGTAAACTGATGTCTGCTTTTCATAAGTATTAAAATATGAACCTTAATATCCTACAGAGTTAACACTGTGCATTATTTAAATGACAGCTTTGAATAAATAGATCAGTTCATGTGATGTATCACTTGAAGAGGACATGAGTAACAATCCAACATGGACACTGACAGAGGCTCATGTTCCATTTCTTTTACAGTGGGGAAAAATCTCCTCTGAATAAGTCCGTCAGGCGTTAACTGTCATCAGATTTTCAGTGTGGTGTCAACAAAAATTCACAGGTTAGACTTGGGTCCACTATTGACCGGAATGGCCCTGAGCTCAGTCCGCATGCACAGGTACTCTCCGGTTACAGCCATCAAGGCCATGCAGACTACATTAACAAGCCACCAGGACAGGGCAGCAGGAATTTTTTCCAGCAGCCAATCATATGGAAAAAGTGCACAGTGACTGTGAAGTCCAGGCACTGTTTCCCTCGACGGATGAAGAACCACAGACCAAGGGCACTGGGGAGACAGAAAAGTTACACTACCAGTCACAAGAGAATTCTTATGGACACAATGATGCTCAACACCAAGTCCAGCCACACACCAAATCTAGAGAACCTACTGTTTATCCTATGTAAATAAAAATATTAGGGATGCACTGTTGCCAATACCAGTATTGGATATCAGGTCTGATAACACCCTCAAGTATTTGTACTCATACTCATAAATGTTGTCCAATAATACACACCAATAATACTTAATTGCAACACTACACTGGTTCAGCCGTACATTAGGTGGTAGAGAAGAAATTTCAGTGGTTTCTGTTTAAGATAAGTGACTAAAGTAAAGACGACTGTGAGCTCTGATTCTCTGCTCTGTTGTGTGTGTCTATGAGCATCCCTTAGAGACAGTGTCCAGTTTAAAGTGAGAGCCTGCACCCTTGTTAAATTAAACATTTAAAATGCTGAATGTGATGTCACAAGCTTCCGATCTTGCTGTTCTGGGTGGAGGTTATGAAATAATGCACTCCTACAAAGGCTAAAAAACACTGTCTCGCAGTACGTTATGTAGTAGGCTACAGACCTTCAGTCAGTTACATGTTGTATTCAGTAGGAATGGTGGCAGTGCTGTGTTTATCAGTTTTCATATTTGTACAGCCTCCTGTTATATTGTATTTAATCACAATCAGAAGGTAAATCTAATGAAAATAAAAACTGTCTATGGTAACTGTAATTTTTGCAGTAGAAACACTGTATTATTATTAAGTTCTTGTATCGGTAGCTACGCAGTATCTGCAAGTACTCAAATTTAAGTATTTGTACTTAGTCTGGGAAAAAAAGTGGTATTGGTGCGTCCCTAAATATACTGAAGAAATTACTTACCAGGTCAGAGAGTTCAGGATGAATGCCATCATTGAAAGCCTACCCTGCACTGTTGCAAAACCAAGGACCTGTCAAGCACAGCAAATATTTAAATACTGCCTCTTGAGTCTACAATGTGGTACAAGTACCTGAACATCTCTCTGGGTCAACAAAGTATCTATCTATCTACAAATATAGGTTACACACAGAGAATATAGTAAAACTTACTTCATAGCTGAAGATTTGGTCCATTGACCGACTAGCTTGCACCAGACTGTCCACTCCAGCCAACCACAGACCCAGAAAGCTGTAGTAGATGCACTGCATCAACACAATCTGACAGATAATGAGGACCGGGTCCCAGATGTAGCTACGAAACTGACTGGCCATTGCCTACTGATGTTACAGATACAGGCCCAGAGGATGTTACCAGCAGGCCCATCCAGTGTGGCCTGTGTGCAATCTGAAAATTTGAAACACAAAAAAATACATTACTCAGCAATGCAACAGTAACAGTAGGAGAGCAGCTTACTGTAACAAAGCCCACTAACTTGCTGTACCTCAACCTTTTTTGTTTTTAAACCCAATTGCGGTTTTTAAGTTTTCGACAAACTCAGGAAAGCCAGGAGTAATAAGCTCTACTGCTGAAAATATTCAATAACAAGTAATAACTTTTACTAGTTTTAATAATTTTTTTTTTATTACTAAAAACTACTCAGACATTTTGTTCTTGGGGCATTTGCTGTGTGATGAACACTAAGTTAAGCAGTACAAATAATCCTTATTTACCTTTCCCCCAGCGAGTCAAGCACTACTAATCAGTGTCAATAAGCCAGGAGAGAAATCAATACAATCTTCTCTTCTTATGGTTTATATATCAAATTTAAACTTTGAATACACCTGACCAGAAAAGTAATATTCCGAAATTTTAGAAAGCAAGGATCAAACTTCACAGCCTGACTGATATTGGATTGTTGCAGCAGATATTGATATCAAATTAGTGAACCCAGTCCAATAAGGATATATTAACAAACAGCATTTTTTTTTATATGAGCACATTATATAAACAATCATCTGGTACATATAGCTTTTAATTTTTCTGTTTGTAGTGTGACCATACAAAGTAGGACATTTTATTGGAAAAATCAACTTGTCAGTGCCGTCTCCACTGTCCCACTTCCATTCTGAAGGCATGTGGTTGTGGTTTCCTTTCCACGGACAGAAAGAGAGACCGCCGATTCGGTTTAATTTAGTGTCAGAATCAGTTTAACCGAGTATACATCTAGCTACAACACACACTCAACGATTAGCAAAAGCCAGCCACCACAGCGGGTTAGCTTTAGCACTGCGTTGTGGGTGACTGACAAAACCCGCTGTGCTATGACATTAAATTCAAATAAACATAAAAGTCAAAGTGACAACCATTTCACCGTGCATGTAAAACACACATTTCGTCTAGCATCAAAAGGGATAACCAACAAGTAAATACGTATTAGCATGTATGTTTTCTGTCGAAGCAGCGGCTGAACTGTTTAACAAAACACACAAATAGTTGCTACACACCTGAATACTAGTTTATAAATGTTTCGCTGCCGTACTGACGATAATCCACTCGCCTGTTTACTGTTTTCAAAATTCTACAGAAACGCAACACGGCCTTGTTTTAATCCACTGGTTGAACCTTGTTAACAACACGGAAGTCACGGCGGTGGACCTGGAAGGAAAACAACGCGCATTTGCCTTTCAATGTAAAAAACCTGATTGAATTATTGAGTCAACTGTACGAGTTTTCAGATAAATTTGACATCTGCAAACAACAAAGGGAGAAAAAACTCATAATCTATTATAGAATAGCCATAACTGTACTGTTCGCAATACACTTAAACCAAATAAATATAAATGTTCTACTTTTTATGCAAAACTGATCATTTATTTTGAAAATCTTTCGTTTTATTTTTTATTTTTTTGGTTGGACAAGTCGCTAATATATAATATTAATTAGTATTAAATAAACAAGTAAAATTAAGTCAAACAATACATAAACTATCAAAACATACATATAATAACGATCATATAATTATCATATTAATAATTGGGCGGATTTAATAATTAATTAATTAAACATTTATAATTTTGGTTGGAAACAAAAGTTTGTGGAGTTAAAAACTATCCGGTATAATAATTGAAATAAAAATATGTAATTTATCTTGAGCTGTATTCGTTTTCACAAAATTACAGTGCAGTTTAGCCAATTTTAAATTCTTCTCAAAGAAACCCATTCTGCATTTCTTTGTTTAATTGTCTATAAGTGTAAATTGAAAATGTCTGCGGTCGATCAAAACAAGTGATTTGAAGACACACTTTGAACCTTGGGAATCGGACTGATAATTTACCAAAGCGAATGAGCAAAAATAAAACAGAGAAAACCACGATTAACTATGAAATAAGTGAAAAAATAATGTGGACCCACTAAGCAAGCGTCATCACGTCACTTCCAAAACAACCCCTCCTCTTTGTAGCCACATTAGCCGAGGCTGTACTCTCGAGCAGGAGCTTGTTCTTCTCAAAGAAGAAGTCATTCTGCTGTTAAAGGTCAGAAGAGGTTGTTTGAAAAACACTGAAATGCGAAGGGTTGTTTGTATTGTTTTATTATGCTGTTTTCTGTTCAAATAACAAAACATAGTGATACTTTGCTGGCTACGTCCTGTTGTTTCTTACATAGCTAGTTGTCTACACTATGTAGTCCCATAGAGCACTGTAATCCAGATTTGGTAATCCTGAAATGTTTGCATCTAGATTAGGGCAAATCAATCCGATGTTTGAAAAACTGGCACAAAAGCAATATGGATTATCTGATCCTGGATATCAAAACATGGGATTTCCAAATCCGCATCATTCTGATTCAAATTAAACGTTTTGAACAACTGGCCCCAGGAGTTAAAACGTGTAATCCCTATCTAACTAGATCAATTGGATTTTGGGTAGTGATCACACAAAGAATTATTTGATCACAGTCATGGTCACTCTGAGCAGGAATCAGGTGAGAAGTGAAGGAAACATACAGTAGAGCGTCTTCACATTTTACACTGCAGTATAAAAGAGGGGTCGAGCTGCAGCCACAACCACTGTCACAGCTTGGAGTGACAGCAGCACACACACTGACTATACCTGCTGTCAGTAATGTCTGTAACATCACCAGGACATGTGCAGGGTATTCTTCTTATTGATCATGGCTCATGAGTTGCATTCATGGGTTATTTTGCGAGCTAATTATTGTGTGTGGATTTAAGTGTCAGATCAGTGAATCTCAAGAAGAGCACCTCCTGAGCGCAATATTGCTTGTTGTGGAAAGTTGGTATGGGAGAGTGTTGATAATAAAGAAGCTGCAGGACTGAATTTGCTATGGAGGTGTTACTCAAAGCCACTGTGTACGCTGCTGTCACAATATATTAATACTGCTGTCAACTTAGGTGTGGTCAGATTGATTTATGACTTTGATGTCATAGTTAGTCACCTTTATTTATTTGTGTGTGGGTGTGTGTATATGTAACTGAATTAAGACTCTTTATTTTAATTATTGGTCTGACACACTAACCATAGGGAAAGGCGGCTGTTTCAAGCCAACATAGTTTAAGGGAATTCAGCCTGATAGTTTGGAATAATAAAGAATTAACTCTCCTTTCTGTAACTAAATAAATATTAGTCTGATATTAAATAATTCACATAAAAAGACAGCTGGGTACTGACCAGATGGTAGCAAACATAGGTTGATACGTGTAAAGATTGCTTATCTGACACTTATTTCACATTAGCGTGTAGTTTATCTCCAATAGTTTAGTTACTGTAGATGAAAGGAATAATTCTTTTTAACTTAGGTGAGGCTCTTGCATCACAGCCATCACTGTTTCAGTGTCTGCCCCAATCCCACCATGTCACGCCACTACTCACTTTATGTTACTGCGATTACCAGTGTTAGCGGCGTATGTGTAACTGAATTAAACTCTCTTTTCGGTTTGACAGCATGTTATCCCCAGTGTAATCACAAGAGGCCCTAATGTGTAGTTTCTAAGATCGCAGCCACTTGGGACTTGTAGTGTGTTTCCATCAGCAGCCATTTCACACCACTAGGACATGGTCTGACACAAGGTCATCCTCATGTAATCACAAGAAGCACTAGTGTACAGTCTCTATGAACAATGCATATTGGGACTTGAAGTGTGCTTCAACCAGTCATTTTGTACACAGTGGGCCCGCTGGCCATTTTGTCTCACCACAACACGGTTCATCAGCTATGAAACCTGTCACTCTTCAGTCAATCTTATAATGTGTAGACAACCACAATTTTTTTTATCTATTATTATTTCAAACAGAGTGTTTTACATACTATCGGTGCGCTCTTTCATCCATGCTATCTGTGTCAGACCAACGGCTGTCCTGGGACGGTTCCAATCCTCATTCTTGTTTTTCTTTCTCTCTTTCAGGTTTGCTGTGTTCCTATCTGATGTGGAACATCCACCATTGTACTTTTATAGACATCATTTATTGTACATATGACCGTCCTGATGTTATTCTAGACAGAAGCAAGGCGCGAAAAGTGAGTGGGGCTTATACCTGGAAACATGACTCATCAGTGCCACATCGATCAAATTCATAAATCAATCTGATCACACCTAAGTTAACACAAGCGGTACTATTATACTCTATGCTGCCAGTCACTCCGAGCTGCGCAGGGTTACGGTATAACGAGAAAACACAGTAAGTCCGAAAAACGAGAAAAGTATCTTCTTAAAATGAGAAAGGCTTCTCATCATAACAAGATAGGCAGGTGGTTCTGTGTGCAGGTTTATGGAATTCACACCTGAGTGCATGAGTTCATTCACACAGGTTTGCACAAGAAAACAACTATTGACCATACAATGAGTGCCTGTGGTAGATTTGGAGAACTGATATTTTTTTTCCAGGGGTTGTGATCTTTTGACTGAAGTGATGGGCTAGAGTAATTAAGGTTGTGGACTTTGTTTTAAAAAAGTAAGTAAATAGTCATTTGTATTGTATTGTTTCAATAAACAATGGCTTCAAAGTGATGGACTTTAACCTTTACTCATTTTCATGTGTAGTGAACACCATAATAATCAGAGCACATGTGAATGTGACAAGAATTCAACAGCTCATAGAAATGAAGATGACACTATTCACCTTACACAGAAAACTGGAAGGTTTGCATTCTGCAGCGGGTAAGAATATTGTTTATTTTTTGTTGTTATTTGGAGTTCAAGTGTCTGGGTTGACCGGTACATTCTGTCTTGACTCTGAGAAAATCTGCTTCTCAGAACTCGACTGTTCTTACATAAAGGTCTGTCTGTGGTGTACAGCATGTGATCATCTAAGAAGTTAATTAAAGAGTTAACTTCAAGATGTGTAAAAATGCTTTCCTGGATCTGCAGCAGTTGTAGTTTTGTTTGAATGAGGTATTTTCCATAATGTTTCTCTTTGTGGGTAAGCTGACAACCTGGTAGATGGATATTTGTAGAATTTGGTGGAAAAGAATCAATCGATTATTTCAGTTACTCAACCAGTGATTTGTTTTTTAAAGTAAAATGTAAAAATCTCAAGGTATGACATGTTGTAAAATGTCTGCTGTTGTCTCATGAACTACTCCACTTAGTGAAAACAGTCCGGGACACTTTTCTCTTCACTGTCTATGAACATTTTGATGCAGAATCATAAAAGGTCTGGGTCAGGTAGGTCAGACTGTAGCACTGGAATATGAAACCTGTCACCATATCAAAGTGTCATTGGCTCCCAGTGCTTGTGTATGGGAACACAAGTGTCTAACAGTGCATGCATGCAGTGTAAAAATTCACCACATTTTCTCTCATTGCTTTGGCCGACATTAGAGAATTTCAGATACAATGTCACCTGTAATACTGTACCTCTCTTTTTTGTAACACCTACAAGTTCATGGTGCCTGTATATTTTTTTTTATCTGCAGGTGCAGTTCGGTGGAGGAGCAGTTATCGACCATCTCCTCTTTTGACAGCTGCTCCTGTTCGTGCTCTCATAGATGAACGGATCAGCATTAAAGGGACTTTCCTTCCCCCACACTGCCCAATTACACTATGTGCACAAATGCACAGTGAGGATGGTGACCTATGGGAGGCATTTGCCCATTATAATACAAATTCAGACGGCACTGTGAACTGTGAGTCACACAGAGTTTGTGGCATTCCATAATCACTGTTGGCTCATACAGACAGGTGACAAACAAAAGGAAAAGCCAACATAAAGTGTCTCAGTAAGGTGCTGGGCCACCGTGTTCAACCAGAACAGCTTCAGAGCGCCTGGGCAATGATTCACCAGTTCCTGGACTCTACTGAAGGGATGGACACCATTCTTCCAAAGATGTTCCGTCATGTGGTGTTTTGATGATGGTGGTGGAGACATTGTCTAACATGTCGGTCCTAAATCTCTTATAAATGTTCACCTGGGTTGAGATCTGCTGACTGAAGACCACAGCATATGATTCTCATCATTGTCACACTCATCAAACCATTGAGTGAGCCCTCGTGCCCCATGGTCATCCTGAAGAGACCACTTGTTTATTCAGGCTTTCCTTTTATTTGTTGCCTGTCTATATATAATGATTTGATATAAATGGAATTATTAAACACACAATATTATTATATTTATATAATATATAAGATAACTCCATAGATTGTAGATGTGAAAAGCATTTGTCTAGTTGGTGTTGGAAAAAAACACAAATAATAATTTTAATGTAGTACTTTTTTGCAGGTAGTTTATTCTTATAGTTTAAAATGGATACAGTTACAATAAAAAAATCACTAATATATTAACAAACAACAATATTAATAACTGAACAAAGAAAGGGTTTGTAGCGTAGAGTTGTCATTAAATTTCAGTTGTAAAACAAAACACAAGTCAACATTTAATCTGTTTATTGTGGAAGTCACTTTTAGATTTGATGAGACTTTTAGACTTTTGTTCAGGGTTTTGCTCAGTTGATCTTCTCCCATCTATGTTTGTCCCTAAAATAGTGACCAGGGACCATTCGGTTGGGGGCTCATATTTGGGCTGTGAGCCAATGGGACTCTTCTGGGGAATGCAGGGGGATCCTGGGGTCAGTTGATGACAGTTTCCTGACTGACCTGTGCTCTTTTTCACAGATTGAGGAAGATAAACGTATTGACTCCATACACAGTGCAGATATCCTTGCTGGAGGGCCACATTTCCCCCAGTGAGGCACAGGGCACTGAGCTAGCTACTGTAATCACTGAGCGCTGGTATATAGCACCAGGCGTACGGAGAATAGATATTCGTCAAAATGGAGTTGTAGGGACGTTATTCTTACCCCCTGGTGAGCAGACGCTTTGAAGTATTCACTCAGAGATTTTAAAACTGATGTGGAAAGGCTGTGTCCTCTGAACAGCATCTGTGGTACTGACTTCCTGTAGGCCCGGGTCCATTTCCAGGCATGTTGGACCTGTGGGGAATGGGTGGAGGACTGATGGAGTACCGCGCTGCCCTGATTGCATCCAGAGGCTATGCTAGTTTGGCCCTTGCCTTCCTGGGGCACAAAGATTTACCTGGCCCACGCAACACCATGAATGTTGGTGATTCATATTTCAAGGTGGGATAAGATGCAGGCCTTCCTTTATTCTGTGCTATGTCCATCTCTTTCTGCATCATGTACATTTCATTTAATAAAAATATATTCTTATTTTAATTATTCTGTCACTTCCACAAATCTTCTGATTTGTGTTGCTTGGACAGGCAGCATTTCACCTGCTTCAGAATCATCATCAAGTCTGTGCCGACAGAGTTGGGATCATTGGTATCTCTTACGGATCCTACCTGGCTCTTCGAATTGCCACTCAGACGGGTGTCAAAGTACGTCAGGGAGGCCTGTCTCTGTCATCTATTTCTGAATCTACACTTTGGTCAACACATAACTCTTTGTACTGAACATGAACAATCATATCTTTTACAAGAATGGGTATAAAAATAAACATACAAAATGTTTAGCAATAGAAAATTAGTAGTGCTTTTTATTAAGTTCTAACGTTGTCCTCTTCATCTCCAGCCAGCCTGTTTGATTTGTATCAATGGCCCAATAGGAAGTAACATTCAGCTCTTAGATGCAGAGGACGGGGCTGATGACTTTAACAGGTAAATAATAACTTTACAGATAGGGTCTCCTATCTTGTATGACACTTCATTGATAAATTTGGAGCCTAAAGTTCTGGTATTAATCTTATAGGTTGTTAATTTAATTAGTTATTGATTGAGATCATCTAAAAATTGCTTTTCTGATGTATAACGTGGACTTTAGCTAAATCCCCACTATAGGTTATGTGTTACGTTGAAATATTTCCATAAATGTATCTTGTGGTTTTTTCTGTTACCTTGTCCTTTAGTGACCAGAAACACTGGACGTTCGATGAGCAAGGCCATGTCAGTTTCAGAGAGGTGTCCTTACCTGCTAACATTCGTCCTGAGGCCATATTGAAGGTGTTGTGAGCTTGCAGCTTCTCTGTCCTCATGATAGCCCACCAGCAAACATACATGTGCACTGACAATATCCTAGCAATATTTTTTTTTGTCAATTTCAAACACTCTGATCTAAAATCATTTCTTGAGTCTTTGCAGATAGAGAACATTGCTTGCCCATTAATGGCCATTGTAAGTGAAGATGACCTGAGCACTGCAAGCATAGAAAGTGCAAATGTGGTAGGTAATAATTAAGTCAAATCAAGATTTTTATTTGCCATTTATGCATAAACAGACAGTCTAGGCATATAGGAATTATTGTGCAGCTCTCCTTTAGAGTCAGGTAAGGAGTCAAAAGCCAGAAAGAACATTCTTAAAATAAAAAAGGAGACAAAGCCTTAAAACTGCAATACACAAAAATAGGATAATAGTATTTTCCACAGTGAACTTCAAACATCGCACTTAGTAATTCACATGGTGGAATTGGATATGTCATTACATTTGGTGAGGTAGAGAGGGGTTATAACATACTAAAAGACAATTTATATTCAGGCTTGTTTCCATTGCTTGGTAAAGAATGTCCTGCTATTATTCAGGTCCCCCAGGAGAACACTGTTGATGAGATGCTCTTAGAAAAATACCTTTCGGAACATTTCTGTATTATTATTGCGTATGTCTAGTAAGGGGTTATTGCACATATAATCTCACATTCGCTTTAACATGGCACAAATAAGCAAAAAAAAAGACAAAAGAGAAACAACCTGACTCCAAGTGAACTGCGACATCGCACCCCAAGAAGCGCCATCTTGTTAATTAACACTGGTTAAATATCCAGTGTTTTCCTAAACTGTTTGTGATCCTTTTTAATTCCAGCAGTTGAACAACCTGAATTTTAAAGAATGACCCTGATTTTATGCAATGTAAAGGCTCATTTTCCCTCTTTCTTTCTTTCTTTCTTTTTTGTTTTGTTCTCAGATTGAGGAGACTCTGAAGGCTGCGGGTAAATCTGAGCTGTTCACCCGGTTGTCATACCCCGGTGCCGGTCACCTGATTGAGCCGCCTTACGCGCCAAATGCAAGATTATCCCTGTGGCGCAATAAACCAAAAAAATGTGAGCCTGATCCAGTTTTATACTTGTTGTCATTACATTTTAACTGTTAGACCCTTAATTGTAATATTAAAGTGAAAATAACTGTAGTTCTGATGTTTGTTCTTTTCTCTCCTGCAGTGTTCACTCTGTGGGGAGGTCAGTCCACCCCTCATGCTGCTGCCCAGGAAGATGCATGGGAGAAGATGCTGGACTTCATGGAAAGCAATCTGAGAAGATGAATCTGTGGTGAAGTGGACATTAAAAAGAGAAATGTCTTGTTTTAAATCTGTTTGTGAACTGATGCTTTTATCTGAGAGTTTCACATGCACAGAACAGACATATTTTTTTGTCACAGTCTTTGTCCTGTCTCCACCACTTGTTTTCCCTGTAGTGTTAGACTCAGCCCCTGTTTTTGATCCAGGTTTCCCTTTTTTGCCACCTGCTCTGCTCTCATCCAGCATGTGAGCCAAGTCTCCACAGTCACTCACTGCCAGATTGTCATCAATGAAGCACTCGTGACTCTCCAGCATTTGTGCTTTCTGCTTGTCTTGGTTTTGAATTGATTTGTCCCTTGGACTCTGACCCTGCCTTGATGAGAGAGAGGCTACTGAACTGAATGAGCCACGGTCAGTGTGCACGTTGCACTCAATCCAAGCTGTGTTGTAAATATCCACATTAGCCGAGGCTGCACTGTCAAGCAGGAGCTTTCCCTTCTTAAATAAGAAGTTATTCTGCTGTTACAGGTCAGAAGAGGGTCTGTTTGTTTAAAGGACACTGAAATGTGAAGGGTTGTTTGTATCATTTTATTATGCTGTTTTCTGTTCAAAAAAGAGTGACACCTTGCTGGCTAGTTTACCTGTTTCTTACATAGCTAGTTGCCTACACTGCAATATGTAGTCCCACAGAACACTGGGTAATTGAGAAAGGTTTGCATCTAGATAAGGATGAATCAAGCTGATGTTTGAAAAATTGGCACAAAGGCAGTATGGATTATTTGATCCTGTTACGGCTAGCTGTATCTCAATAATCGGTAAGGACTCAGAGAAATGCAGGACTCGCACTCAGGCTTGGAAAAGTAAATAATTTAATGAATACTGAAATGAGGACTACGTAGATGGGGGGCCGGTTACTGAGATACTTCAGTAGATCTCGGGCAGCTGGGGACGCTGTATTGACTGGACGGCTAGAGGAGCAACGTTGATCGAGAGGTGCGGCACACTATGTTAGAGCAGAGGATGAGAGTGTGAGACAGGATAACAGGTACACAGGGATAACGTCTATATCAAGTACTAGAACAGTGATGAGGTGATGAGGGTTGTAGGCAGAGGTCCAGTGCTGGGGGGGGAGAAATCACAACCAAGTGCAGTGTACCTGATTCATATGAGAGCTCTCTGACAGGAGACAATTCAGTCCTCACACATAAGTGGTACTCAAAATCAGAATGGCAAAAGGTTACAGAAAAATCTGATATCTCAAACCACTGGCAAACAGTTCATAACACAAGGTAGCAACCAAAAATCAGAAGGGCAGGAATCAGATCAAATCAAATCAAATTTTATTTGTATAGCACCAAATCACAACAAAAGTCATCTCAGGACACTTTACAAAGTAAGGTCTAGACCTTACTGTTATCACTATTATTACATAGGGAAAACCCAACAAATCCCCCTTGAGCAAGCACTTGGC